GTTTTGCATAATCTCATTTAGTTTCTCATTTAGCTTTTGTTTCCTTTACTATTGCAGTCAAATTCCTGGATATATCCCAGGAGCCTGTGAGGTGCAATGTTTTCCCATTATTTTCTTCAATATATCTAGGGTTTCCTGTTTAATATCTAAGTCTTTCATTCCTAAAATTGTTTATTAATTAAAATTAATTTAATTCTAAGAAGAAGAGAGCAGGTACTTGTACATTTAGTGGTGGTGCTTATCAAGGACAACACATAGGTTGTGTGTGGTGCTCGCCAAAGGTCAAAGTCCTCTTCATTGTGGTGTTTGTGTGTGTGTTTTGCTTGCGTTGCTCATCACACTCTGTGAGGTGCCCTCACCCACATGCACGCCAAGAGTTATTTTCCTGACAATGGTGCACCCACATCTTTCTGTGTTTGTCAGGGTGCCACCCCTTTTTAGTTATGGTACTCGCATACCTCAATAATCAGCCATAATTATCAAATTTTCAGTTCTCCAGAATCATCAAATGTTTAATTCTCCAAACATAAGAGTCGACACTACTAGAATAAAAACAAAAGCACATTAACAAATGATTCTGATAAGCTCTGATAATTCTAAAATTTGATAAATCTAAAATCTAAAATCCCTTAAATCCAGACCAACAAGTCAGGGCCAGATGAACATTAGAAAAGATTAGAGTTCAAGCAAACAATTAATCTTGACAGAATATTGATTTTATTTCAAATGTGGACATAATGGTTTTCTATTCATCCTTCCCCCTGTAAAGAATATGTCCCCTCTTAATCTGTAATTTACTTTCATCTCTTTCGGAAAGATCAGCCTAGAGCCTGAGTGATAGATAGTCCATGAATAAGTCCTGAGCACCACCAGGTGTGGCCCCAAACCCAAAAAAGTAAAGAAAAAGAAAAAAAAGAAAAAAGAAAACCTCAACCTAACCATACTACATAAAACAGACTCCTGATTCTCTCAGTCTCACTATCCACCTCTACTGATTTTTCTTCATAGCATTTATGTCCATCAGCGTATGCTACATAATTTATTAGCCCCACTGGAAAGATGCCCAGGAGAACAGCTATTCTATTATCCTCATAGCTCTGTTCTCAATGCTTCAAAGAGTGATTGGCACACAATAGGTACTAATAAACATTTTGTGGAATAATTATGATTTACATAATTTATTGTAACTTTCATCTATGATTCTTCAGAAGCCTAAGTCATAACTTACATCTAAAAGAAATTTTTAGACTACCTTGACATGTTTTTGTTGGTTGGTTTTATTTTCCACAACAAAAATCATTATAGTTGGGCTGGAGCAATAGTACAGTGGGTAGGACATTTGCCTCACATACAATCGACCGGGGTTCCAATCCCTGGCACCCCATATGGCCCCCCCACGCACTGCCAAGAGTGATTCCTGAGTGCAGAGCCATGAGTAACCCTTGAGAATTACCAAGTGTGACCCAAAATGCCAAAAATAATCGTTATAGTTTATTTGAGCAAAATATGATTCAGATGGAGAAGCACCAAACCAGAAGAGAGAAGGGCTGCACCATTAGAGAAGGTCCAGAAGCTAAGAAAGAAAATTATTGCTAGATTTTAGCTTAACACCTGATTGGTTGTCTGTGGGGTTTGACTTCATAACCTTGAGGCATTTACAGGCTTGGATTTTAGGCTGCTGAGGCATTAGAGTCACCTCAGACTAATAGCTTTTTTGTTTGTTTGTTTGTTTGTTTAAGGAAGTTAACACCCCAGTTGACAATACCAAGGAAAAAGGTGAATACAGTTGAAAACTAAAAGAGCAACCAAAGAAATAGACTGAGAAAACCAAAGTGAAGTCTTCAAACAAAAGGGCAGTGGACTGTGTCTGTTCCTAACCCCTGAGTCATTTGTTCAGACACTTGACATGTTTTCTTACTAGAATTATCGGATCCAAGCAGCTAAAGTGTCACTCAGAACGTTTAAGATCAACCACGATACTCTTGCTGTGGTATATGTATTGAGATATCTTGGTGATCAGATCATTCGCTTTCAGAGAAATATCTTTTCTGTGCATGCCTTGAATATTTAGAGATATGAAATGTAAATGGTAATAGCCTTGTAACCCTCCACTTTTCGGCACCAGAGAATGGCATTAAGAATTTTCTTTCGGTATGTGATAATCTTATTAACTAAGTAATTTTGGTTAATTTTACTAGGGAAATATTATATTTACTCATTACTCTGGAAACCTATCGCCACTTGATGTCTACAATCAGTGTCTTGTCTTTAGTATAGAGTCTTTAAGGAAACCGTAAAGGAAACAGAAAAATTGCCACAAATTCCAGAACTTAAAGCACCCTACACACACACACACACACACATATACATATATATGTGATATATGTGTGTGTGTGTTTTGTTTATGTGTTAGGTAGATCTGTAACATTTTAGGGTCAAAGATTTTTCTGGGCATGTAATGGTAAATTTCTCCCCTCCAAATATGTACATTCAGTGGATTATATATATATATAATATAATATATATAATATATAAAATCTTTGACACATAAACGACACATTGAACTGAGCAGAAGGTAAACTGTTAGGAGTCAAGTAAGAAAGTTCCATTGCACCAACTGACAGATCTGATTGGCCTTTGAGATCTTAAAGTTCTTTGCAAATTAGAAAGTGGTGAATTATTCAGTGACAGAAAACAGGAACATTCTATGGGAATTTCAGGGGGAAATTGCCATCAGCCAGGGATCTTTAAAGAAAAATGCATATGTATATATATTTTTGCCTTTTTGGGTCACACCCAACAATGTTCAGGGGTCACTTCTGGCTCTGTACTCAGGAATTACTCCTGGCGGTGCTTGAGGGACTATATGGGATGCCGGGCATCGAACCCAGGTCGGCCGCGTGCAAGGCAAATGTCCTACCCGCTGTGCCATTGCTCCAGCCCCAGAAAAATGCATATTAATGCCACAACAATCGCGATGGGCTTTGAATAAAAACTTACTTCATCTTTTTAGTTGAAAGCAGTTCAAACACGTAAAGTGACTTTTAAAAGCAGCAAAATAAATTTTGAGAAATCTGTCTTGAAGTTATCATTTGCAGATTATAACTCTAATACTTGTAATTTGACTTAGAATGTACCAGGTTACTGTTCTCTCCTTGACAATTTTCCAATAAAATCGGAATTTTAATTTATCTAATGTAACATACACTACTTAGAGATATTACAGAGAAGCAAATTGCATGCAGCTTTTTATGCCTTTTAGTGAGTTTCCTAGCATACAAATAAGCATATTTTGCAATGTTGTTATCATTTTAGATATTGTTGGGGGTCACACCTGGCAATGCTCATGAGCCCTGAAAATGCAACGAAGAACTAGAGGCCCCAGATGACTACACTTTCCCCTTTGGACCTCCCCATTCCTCCTTTTTGTTTGGTTTGGGGATCACATCTTGCACGGCTCATGGTTTACTCCTGACCGTGCTCAAGAATCACCCTTAGTGGTCTCAGGTGATCCAGGAGTGAATCACTCCTAGTGGTGCTCAGGGGACCATATACTGTGCCCGGGATTGACACATGCACCACTCCAGAACCATCAACTGTCATTTCAACCATATTCAATGATGCTAGTTGGTGAAAGGGTTCTTCACTTTCCTGGACATTCAGATGAGGGCCGGTCAGGGTATATGTCTGACCACTCTCAGATGAAACATAGAGCATTTAAATAAAGACAGCATCCATCTGATCATCTGCACAAACAGTCCTGAGTTGTAATGAAAGCTCCAATCTGCATTCTCTTCCATCTTCTCTCCATGGTGGGTGACGTGTGGGGAAGACAGAGGCCGTTCTCTGCTCCTTCTTCCCTGGGGAGCGAGGCATGGAGACAAGTGGAGCCTTTCTGGAAGGTCGCTCAGAGGGCAGTGGCGGAGAGGTGGCTTTTTCCTACTGGGTATTTTCCCGAGTGCCTTGGAGATTTCTGTTTCTAGGCCTTTCTAAACTTCAATTCCTTGTCTCCTCCTGCTTCTGCAGCCCATGGGAGTGTGTCGGTCAGTTTCCAGCTCCGGCCTCCTTCACTGGCCTTTCGAACAGGTCAGATTGGGCAGATGGGATCTCTGTACACAGGCACGCTTGCTTTGCTGACTTCTCTTATTTTCTTCTTCTATTACCCTGCTGTGTTCTCGCTGGCCTATCTTTAAGAAACTTCTAGAGTCACATGGGACAAAGGAAGAAAAATCAACACAAAAGTGTAAGCCAGGGGCTGGAGCGATAGCACAGCGGGTAGGGCGTTTGCCTAGCACGCAGCCAACATGGCCGACCCAGGTTCTATTCCCAGCATCCCATATGGTCCCCCGAGTACCGCCAGGAGTAATTCCTGAGTGCATGAGCCAGGAGTAACCCCTGAGCATCACCGGGTGTGAACCAAAAAGCAAAAAAAAAAAAAAAAGTGTAGGCCAGAGAAAGAAAGGGAGGGAGGAGGTTGGGAGAGAAGATGAAAACAGAAGCATCACCGGAAGGCAAGAGGTGTTGACTGTCAGCTGAATTTAAAGCAATCAAGCTTGGACTCTTTGGAAACCTAGGCTAGGCTCCTGGTCCCCCACACCGGGTCCCCCTGCACCAGGAAGAACTTTCAGGAGGAACTCACAAAGCTCTGGAAAGGAAAAGCACTTTTTTTCCCCATGTAAAAACAAAGATGTCTTTTGTTTAGCACTGTAGTACTATCCTCCCGTTGCTCATCGATTTGCTCGAGCAGGCCCAGTAACGTCTCCATTGGAGACTTTGTTGTTACTGTGTTTGGCATATCGAATACATCACGGGGAGCTCGCCAGGCTCTGCCGTGCGGGCGGGATACTCTCGGTAGCTTGCCGGGCTCTCCGAGAGGGGCGGAGGAATCAAACTCAGGTAGGCCAAGTTGTTTAGCGACTTCAAAAGCAAAATGCAAAACTTGTCGCTGGCTTTTCCCTAAATGACTCCATCCAGCTTCTCCTTTACCCTGTCACCTGCAGGAGGAAATAAGCTACCAAGTCAGCCCTTCCACCTCCGGTGGGCCTGGATTTCTTTGGAGAGAGAGTACTACATTGTGGAGGAAGACGCCTTGTTCCTGGAGGTGACGCTGACACGTAGGGGATGCCTGGCCGAGACAGCCTTCATCAGTGAGTGCCTCTGGGTGATTGTTGGCAATGGGTAAGGAAATCCCAAAATCCAGGCTTAAAAATGACTCCCAAGAAGAGGTAGTAAGAAATTTAATAAAAAATTGGGGGGAATCTCCAAAAAATCATGTGGCATTATGCCATGGTGTTTACTGCATGTGAGTTAGATATATATGCATGTGAGTTAGATACACACACACACACACACACACACACACACACATACACACACACACAGACATATTTCTTACCATCCTGCTTTCTCCCTTCTGGAATAGAACTTTCTTTTTCACCTGAAAGGGTCCTAGGAAAATTAAAGACCTTCAGGGTCATGTTCCATAATTGTCAGCTTTCTCAGTTTCTTTCTTTCTTTGGTTTTTCTTTTTTTTTTTTTAGTTTTTGGGTCACACTCGGCAATGCTCAGGGGTCACTCCTGGCTCTGCACTCAGGAATTACTCCTGGAGGTGCTCCTGGGACCATAGGGAATTCCGGGGATCAAACCAGAGTCAGCCGTGGGCAAGGAAAGAGCACTACCTGCTGTGCTATCGCTCCAGCCCTGCTCAGTTTCTTTTAAAATTGTTTTTAAGTACCGATGTATTATTAGCTTACATAGTTTAATTCTAGCTATCTGTCTAGAAAAATTATTTATAATCCAGGATCCATTACTCTATTGAGTTATAGCTTTTGATTATGTGTAATTGTTTCCCTGCTATTTGTCAATTTCTCCAAGACATGGATAGTGTCAAATTTCTCTGTGTTCTTCAAAAACTTATGCCTCATTGAGATGAATGAATATGTGATGCCTACACCTAACATCTCACTGTCATCGTTAATGATTAATAATTGCTCTAATAATACATTATGACTTGTGATATCTTTGGCTATCAACTTTTGGAGGACATTAGCCTTGATTTTTATAAGCAACTGAGAAGACAGATTGAGATGTATTGTCTTTTAAAATGAGCATGCTTGGGGCAGGAAAGATAGTACAGTGGGTAGGGCATTTGCCTTGCTCACGGTTGACCAGGGTTTGATCCCCAGTATCCCATATGATCCCCCAAGCACCACCAGGAGTAATTTCTCAGTGCAAAGTCAAGAATAATCTGAGCATCGCCGGGTGTGACCCAAAAAACAAAAATAAATAAAATGAAATGAGCATTCTGAGTTTCCCAGATATACAGGATCCAGTGAGAGTCCTGCCAACATATTGAAAGTGTTGGAGAGACACCAGGAAGGAAAAGACTGAGATCAGGCTCCCTAGAAAAAGCAAGTTTTTCCCTGATCACCTTTCCAGACTTTAAGTTCTGAGGCAGGAGTATTTTCCTAGGAGATGGTCAGCAGAAGAGAACTTCTGGGTGTCCCTCCGCCTTCATTTTTACTGCAAGCCACTCTATCCATGTACTGTGGGTCACTGCCAAGCACTGGCTGAATAAGGCCTCCTTTCTCTTAGAGGGTTCTCTGCTAGCCTTTCTCCTACGCACAACCCTCTCCTCAGGAACTTCTGGGCACAAGACATAAGATATTATGTCAAGAAATAGTTTCACATTCTACCTGGCTCAAAAAAATAGTAACTCAAGTCTCTCTACCCAGAGTGGTTGAATATTTGTAGTTACCTGCTCAGGGAGATGGCCTCTGGCCTCCTTGCCCTGGCCATCCTGACGTGCATCCTTTGGCCATTACTGCCTTCCCGAGTAAGTTTTCAGACTCATGAGGACAGAAACTACATCTTAAGTTGTGAGCATCTCCCCACATAGCAGGGGGGCATACAGTTGCCTGACACCCACTATTTATTGGTAAGTGAACCACAATCCAGCTCTTCTGTACTACAAAACACTACAAAAGACTACATCATCACTGCAAAAGACAGCCCCCCAAAGCAGCTTACTCAGCACTGCAAAAAACCCTCCTGATTCCCCCAGCACAGTCCATGCCGGGGACAATAGTCAGAGCAGAGCATCTAGAAGAACTTGAGATACATCAAGTGACCATGGGGTACTGTCCATGATCATGTCCTCAACTTATAGTTGAGTATTGTGGCGCTTTGGCCTGGTCCATTTCGATGCCAGGGTAGCTCACAGCTTGCCCTGGGTCCATTCAGTCCCTTGTCGGGACCCCACTTTTGGGATGCTAGGAACTAAGGGCAACTGAGTCAAGAAAGCAGATGCTCAGGAGTAGATTTTATTCAGAGTCAATCAACTCCCAATACAAAGAAGTAAGTTGGGACTGGAGCTGGGGCATTTGCCTTGCAGGAGGCCAAACTCTTTCCCAGCATCCCATATGGTCCCCTGAGCACCTCCAGGAGTAATTCCTGAGTGCAGAGCCAGGAATAACCCCTGAGCATCTCCAGGTGTGATCCTAAGCTAAAAACAAACAGAAAGAAGCATGTTATGTGCGGTTGGCTTTTCATCGATAGAATTTACTTTGAAAGCAAGGTGAAATAAGGACTAGACTTGTCCCTCTCACCATTCAAACCACCCAACCTATAAATTTCCACAATCAGATCAATAGCTCTCCTAGCATGGCACCGCAAGGCCAATCACCCTTTCTGCAAATTCAGGACAAACCAGGTAAGCTCTCTGACTTCGTGACTCCACCTCACCATGCCACCCCACCCTCACCCTCCGAGGCAGAGGGGAACCCCTGAACCATGGTAGCAATGGGACTGTATGCACCCCGTCTCTACAGACTTCCTGGAGTGATGGCAGGAAGCAGCACAGCCATCTTGGGGGGGTGGGGGGGGACAGAAGCAACAGAAGGCCAGGAGGCATGTGTTGTGTCCATAGTGCCGTGTGCCAAACTTTGGACTGTGTGCAGTGGTGCCCAGTTATCACAGGTAGACCAGTGGGCCCTGTGCAGTTCTCTGGAACTGGGTACAGCATCTTCTGACAGTAAACAGGGAGTCGCTGGATTGGAAGGATGTGCAGAGTCCCAACACACAGCACTGAAGCCCCTGAGCAGGCTGCTGTGTCCCTACAGGTGTACCCAGGTGTGAGTGTGCCTCTGCAGGTGTGCCCAGGTGACTGTGCCCCTGCAGATGTGCCCAGGTGAGTGTGCCCCTGCAGGTGTGCCCAGGTGAGTGTGCCCCTGCAGGTGTGTCCAGATGTGAGTGTGCCTCTGCAGGTGTGCCCAGGTGTGAGTGTGCCCCTGCAGGTGTGTCCAGATGTGAGTGTGCCTCTGCAGGTGTGCCCAGGTGCGAGTGTCTCTCTGCAGGTGTGCCCAGGTGAGTGTGCCCCTTCAGGTGTGCCCAGGTGAGTATGCCTGAAGGTGTGCCCAGATGTGAGTGTGCCTCTGCAGGTGTGCCCAGGTGAGTGTGCTTGCAGGTGTGCCCAGGTGCGAGTGTGTCTCTGTAGGTATGCCCAGGTGAGTTGCCCCTGCAGGTGTGTCCAGATGTGAGTGTGCCTCTGCAGGTGTGCCCAGGTGCGAGTGTCTCTCTGCAGGTGTGCCCAGGTGAGTGTGCCCCTTCAGGTGTGCCTAGGTGAGTATGCCCCTGCAGGTGTGCCCAGGTGAGTGTGCCTGAAGGTGTGCCCAGATGTGAGTGTGCCTCTGCAGGTGTGCCCAGGAGCGAGTGTGTCTCTGCAGGTATGCCCAGGTAAGTGTGCCCCTGCAGGTGTGCCCAGGTGAGTGTGCCTGCAGGTGTGTCCAGATGTGAGTGTGCCTCTGCAGGTGTGCCCAGGTGCGTGTGTGTCTGCAGGTGTTTCCAGATGTGAGTGTGCCTCTGCAGGTGTGTCCAGATGTGAGTGTACCCCTGCAGGTGTGCCCGGGAAGATGCATATTAGGGGGTAAAGCCTCCATCCCTTCTCCTCGCCTCAAGAAAATCTTGGCTGGAAAAAGCATGTTGGTTTCTTATAAATTCTTCTTTATCAAGAGCCAAAGGACCTGGGGACTGTAACCAAAGGAGCCGGCTCCTTCTATGTCTCGGCTTCCTATTGATGGTGTCCTGTTTGCTGCCTAGGCATTGTCACCAAGGATGAAACCGCACAGAAAGATGAGGATTTTCAAGGAAACACCCAGAAAGGAGTTCGGTTCAACCCTGGACAGACTACGGCCACATGGAGAGTGGGACTCATACCTGACCGTGGATACGAGGCTTCAGAGACCTTCCAGATTCTTCTGTCAGATCCCGTGATGGCTGTTCTGGAATTTCCAGAAATAGCAACTGTTGAAATTGTAGACCCTGAGGACGGTATGTGTCTCCCGCATGACTTTGCATTCCTGACTTCGCTGCACTACATCTAGATACATACATCTCAGTTAGGCCTTGAAGATAAGTAAGTTGTTTCCTGGGAGCATTTTTTCCCTTGTTATTAGGTTTTTTTTTTTAATAAGAGAAAGGTAGAGAGAATTTATTAATAATGTGTCTACCTCCGATCTCCATGAGAAAAGTCCAGCATAGCTGAGTCACTCCGCACACAGTTCTGGAGACCATCTCTAAAATAAAATGAGTTAGCTAGGTCGGGGGAACAAGGAAAGAAAAGTTAAATCTGTCTCAGGATTATCGGGAAGGCTCGGGAAAGGAAAGGCCTGCAGATTTCTGTTCTGCCTCTCAGAAAAGAGATAAAGGGATTACCTCTTTCTGGGAGAAGTCCCGCAAGGAAGAGATTTGTATGTAAATTCTCTTTTTCAAAGGCAAGGTTCAGTTTGGGTAGCCCGGGGACCTCCCAGGAAGTTAACCTTTGCAAAGACAATTTTGAGGGGAGCAGACTTTTACTTCTCTGTAAGTCTGCCTTCACAGCAGCTGAGAAGTTCCACCATTAAGAAAATGTTCATTATTTCATTGTTCTTGAGATTTTTGTAATGGAATATAATATAAGAAGTTTTCTTTTGGCATCTGGGCACGTCCTGGTTGGTTTTCACTTGGTACCAGGCAGCTTTGGGGCTGGAGTGATAGCACAGCAGGTAGGGCGTTTGCCTTGCATGCGGCTAACCCAGGTTCGATTCCTCCGCCCCTCTCGGAGAGCCTGGCAAGCTACCGAGACTATCCCGCCTGCATGGCAGAGGCTGGCAAGCTACCCGTGATGTATTTGATATGCCAAAAACAGTAACAACAAGTCTCACAATGGAAATGTTACTGGTGCCCGCTCGAGCAAATCGATGAACAATGGGAGGACAGTGCTACATTGGTACCAGGCAGCTTCACTCACAAATAGGGATTCTGCAGGGCTTGTGGCAGAACCACCATGTCTCAGGGTTTTTGAGTGCATAGGTGCCCCATACGTGAGAGTCATGTCCTAGATGTGGCAGCTATGCTATTCATTTTAGCCTTGTTCCACAAAGTCCTATTACAGTTGTGCAGTACGCCTTTAATTGTCCCATCATTCATTTGGTTCATGTGTTCGTGCATTCAGCAAATATCTCCCCCCAAAAAACTTAACAAGAAAGAACACTTTATCGGCAACTGTAATACTCTTTGCTGCTTCTTTTTGGTGAATGTAGAAGAATATTTCCTTAAAAAATTTAAAAAAACTGGGGCTGGAGCAATAGCACAGCAGGTAGGGCATTTGCCTTGCATGCGGCCAACCCGGGTTCGATTCCCAGCATTCCATATGGTCCCATGAGCACTGCCAGGGGTGATTACTGAGTGCAGAGCCAGGAGTAATAACCCCTGTACATTGCTGGGTGTGACCCAAAAAGCAAAAAATAAAATAAAATAAAAAGAAACAGTTCATGGTAACTCACAGTTCCAGAAGGCAGAATCTAAACGATGGACATGGGAGTCTCCCGGTGGACGATTCCACAACGAAATAGACCACATCATATTCAATCGACGGTTTTGCCTGACTGATGTCGCTGTTGTCCCAAAATTTCGAACGGGATCGGACCACCGTCTCCTTCGTGCAAAATTCTACTTCACAGAGTGGGGAGAAAGGGCTGCAAAGTTCAAAAAGAGAACTCCCAGAACGACCACCAACTGGGAACTCTTTGGTACTATTGCGGCAACATGGGAAGATGCCATTGTTGACAACATTGACGAGGAATACGATCGACTGGTTCAGCACCTCCATGAATGTGCGAGGAACGCCAAGAGAGAGATAGCCACAAAAAGTCGCCTATCTTCGAAAACTCTTGAGCTAATTCGCCAGCGAGGTTTGGCGCATGCCTCAGGCAACCGCAAGCTAACGTCCGAGCTTGCAAAGCAGTGCAGAGATGCGATCAAGGAAGACCTCAAAGAGAGAAGAGCAGAAGTACTGGTAGATGCGGCAGAAGCCGGGAAAAGTATTCGTAACGCCCGCCTGTCCTTCGCCAACTATAAGACCAAGATGACTGCCCTCCGACGTCCTGATGGATCCATCACATCCTCCAGAACGGCAATGGAGAAGATTATCCATGACTTCTACTCAAATCTCTTCGATAGCCATGTCCACTTGCCGACATACCAAATTCCACAGGATGGGTATGTCGTTCCCAACGTTCTCCCTTCCGAAATCCGACACGCCATTTCGTCAGTAAAGAAGCAAACAGCACCCGGCCCAGACAAGGTCAGACCTGAACACCTGAAGAACCTGCCGTCAGTACTCATCAATACATTGGCTCGGCTCTTCACTCACTACCTGTCTGAATGCAAGGTTCCATCTCAATGGAAAACCAGCAGGACCGTACTACTGTTCAAGAAGGGAGACATCCATGACATTGGCAACTATCGCCCGATCTGCCTATTGTCTGTCATCTACAAGTTGTTCACTCGAGTCATCCTGAATAGGATTGGCAGAACACTAGATGAAGGACAACCATGTGAGCAAGCAGGGTTCCGCAAAGGATTCAGCACCATCGACCATATCCACACGATAACCAAACTCATTGAGGTTTCTCGGGAGTTCAAGATGCCGCTCTGCTTAACGTTCATTGATTTAAAGAAGGCCTTTGATTCTGTTGAGACGGAAGCGGTCATTGAAGCCCTAGCCAATCAGGGCATTCAAGCCCAATACATCAGGATCCTCCGTGAGCTGTATTGCGGATTCACTACCAGGATCTCACCATTCTACAAAGAAGTGATCGTTGATGTCAAGAGAGGGGTGCGGCAGGGTGATACCATTTCACCAAAACTCTTCAGTGCCACCCTCGAGAACATCATGCGACGACTGGAATGGGAAGGAATGGGAGTGAAGATAGATGGTCGGCAACTACACCACCTCCGCTTTGCTGATGACATTGTTTTAATAACACCAAACATCAGCCAAGCGGCACAAATGCTGGCCGACTTTGACCATGAGTGTGGAAAGGTAGGACTACAGCTGAATCTTACGAAGACAATGTTTATGAGAAACAGCCTTGTTCCTGACGCCCCATTCGCTCTCAATGGAATGACCATCTCCGAATGCAACAGCTATGTGTACCTAGGTCGAGAGGTCAACATGACAAATGACCTGGCACCCGAGCTGCGCAGGAGGAAGAGAGCGGCTTGGAACGCCTTCAAGAACGTCGAAGAAATAGCTAAGAGGACGAAGAACCTCCGGCTCCGGGCACATCTCTTTGATTCCACTGTTCTTCCTGCATTAACATATGCCTCAGAGACCTGGGCCCTACGCAAACAAGATGAGAACGCCATTCAGGTCTCCCAAAGAAGAATAGAAAGAGCTATGCTTGGAATATCACGTTTCACTCAAATGAGAGAACGAATCCGGAGTTCTGACATCCGTCGACGATCAAGGATCAGGGACGCTGTCTCATTTGCCAAGTTGTCAAAAATCAGAAGGGCTGGTCACGTAATGAGATTTAAAGACGACCGTTGGACTAGAGCTGTTACTGATTGGATTCCACGGGATGTCAAGAGACCGCGTGGCCGCCCACCTACCAGATGGTCAGACTTCTTTGTCAAGGTCATGAACGATCGGTTTGAGGCCCTCCATGTTCCCGGAGCGAAGAGATGCCATTGGGCTACACTAGCACGCGACAGGGACAAATGGAGACGTTACTGGCGCCCGCTCGAGCAAATCAACGACTAACGGGAAGTTAAGTGATTAAGTGAAAAAGAAACAGACCTAGAAATATAGCATTGCGGTGAGGGTGCTTGTTTGGTTTGAGCCCAGAGCCTGGGTTGAGACACCGCTTAGGCACCGCCTAGGGTGACTAGGGGGTAAAAAACCCAACAGTTTAACAGTTTCAGTATTCATCTTTTAATTTAATTATGCTTGTTGCTTATCCCAATCATCAACAGAATTCAGCTACCCTCGAAAATACATGATTTACTGCCAGGGAAAGGTCTGGGTTCCGTTCCACAGGGCTCTGTGATGAATGCCCTGTGATTAGATGCTCCAAACTGCAAAACAGAATTTTAGTGTAAGTGAAGTTCGGAAAGCTTTGCATAGATCTGTAAGCCTCCGATCCATTTCAAATATCTTTACAGCTGTGGATCATTTTCATTCACATTAGCATGTTAATCGATTCTGAGACACTCTCCAGTAAAAACTCCGGTTTCTCTGCAGAAACTAGTTCAAGTTTTACAGAAATCAGGTCTAGTTTCCTGAAATGCATTTAGGAAATGCTGTTGTGTGTGCATTGTGTGCTGACAAAACAGAAAACACACAGTCCTAGGTATCTGGTCAGAGCTGCCGATAACATTTAGCCACAAGAAAAACTGAGAAAAGTCCATGAGAAAAGCTGAATGTAAGGAAAAAAGCAAAAAAAAAAAAAAAAGAGTTCTGTAATAAGATAGTGGGGAGAGCTCACTACTGTTTCAAGCTCTGAAGGTTTATGGAAAATGCACAGTTTGAGCTGAGTCTTGAACAGTGAAAGAACTTTGGATTTGTCAATGCATAGAAGGAAGCTTTTCCAGAATGGGAAAATAGAGAATGTGACCAAAAAACACAATCCTAATGCAGCTAAATTTTTTTTTTTTTTGCATTTTGGGTCACACCTGGCGATGCACAGGGGTTACTCCTGGCTCTGCACTCAGGAGTCACCCCTGGTGGTGCTCAGGGGACCATATGGGATGCTGGAAATCGAACCTGGGTTGACCGCGTGCAAGGCAAACGCCCCACCCACTGTGCTATTGCTCCAGCCCCTAAATTATTTTTAATGTGGCATTAAATAACTTTAATTTACTTTTAGCTTCTTCCAGGATATCAACATTTTGAATTAAGAAATGCCAAGATTTAGGGGACTGGAGCGATAGCACAGCGGGTAGGGTGCTTGTCTTGCACGTGGTTGACTCAGGTTCGATTCCCAGTATCCCATGTGGTCCCCTGAGCACTGCCAGGAGTAATCCTGAGCGCATGAGCCCGGAGTAACCACTGAGCATCACTGGGTGTGACCCAAAAAGCAGGAGAAAGAAAGAAAGAAAGAAAGGAAGGAAGGAAGGAAGGAGAAAGAAAGAAGAAAGAAAGAAAGAAAGAAAGAAAGAAAGAAAGAAAGAAAGAAAGAAAGAAAGAAAGAAAGGAGGGAGGGAGGGAGGGAGGGAGGGAGGGAGGGAGGGAGGGAGGGAGGGAGGGAAGGAAGGAAGGAAGGAGAAAGAAAAGAAAGAAAGGAAGGAAGGAAGGAAGGAAGGAAAGAAGGAGAAAGAAAGAAAGAAAGAAAGAAAGAAAGAAAGAAAGAAAGAAAGAAAGGAGGGAGGGAGGGAGGGAGGGAGGGAGGGAGGGAGGGAGGGAGGAAGGAAGGAAGGAGAAAGAAAAGGAAGGAAGGAAGGAAGGAAGGAAGGAAGGAAGGAAGGAAGGAGAAAGAAAGAAAGAAAGAAAGAAAGAAAGAAAGAAAGAAAGAAAGAAAGAGAGAGAGAGAAACACCAAGATTGTAGATTACCTCACAGTCATGGTCACAGTCCTCCCGTTGTTCATCGATTTGCTCAAGCGGGCCCAGTAACGTCTCCATCATGAGACTTGTTGTTACTGTGTTTGGCATATCGAATACATCACGGGGAGCTTTTGCCAGGCTCTGCCGTGCGGGTAGATTACCTAAAGAGTATAAAATGGCAGAAAGAAAGTTCTCACCAGCCCTTTCCCTGTTACCCAGGACCACTGTTTTCTTAGAGGTCAATAACAGTTTCACTAGAAAAAATTGAGGCGGAAAGAGGAAGAAGAAGGGAAAAAATAACAAATAACAACTAGGTTAACGCCAGCTTCTGGTGTCTTTAGGAAGGTCTAATAGTTCCTAAAGATGAAGCTTAGTCTGACACTGTTTCCATCCCCAAGAGGATTCGTGTGCTCTCACTTTATTCTGCGAGAGGAAATGATCCATACGAAAGAAAAAACGTTTTTAAACAAATGCATATGTTTTGACCACAAAGCATGCTTAACAGACAGCCTTGGAAAACACAAAAAGGCCCCAAGAAAAATAGTGCACATAATTCCATCAATGGGTGGTCAGTCTTCATTTTCATATCAACTGAGTGTTCTGATGATTGTCTGTTTGTGTAAACATTCACACACGTGTGCATGTGCTCAGGCACATACCTGCACACAGCCCCATATGTCTCTGTGGCAACCATCACTGTAAAAACGAACGACAGGAAAAGTAGCTAATGTTTCTCCGTAAATCAAGGTGGTGTCTTATACATGGTATCTGCACAATAAATAGTGAATTAAAATGTTCATTGAATAAAGCTGTTGATTTCCTGCATTAATGAATTGGATTATTTGATTGTTTAAAAGAAATTAAAAATGAACAGTCAAAAGAGAGGCAGAACAAAAAAATAAATCATTTGGGGCCCAAGCCAGCAGGGCGTTTGCCTTGCACGTGTCAACTCAGGTCCCACCCTATGTGGTCTCCCAAGCCCCCCAGGAGTGATCCCTGCGTGTAGAGCCAGAAGTAAGCCCTGAGCACTGCTGGGTGTGACCCAAAACAATTTTAAAAAATAAATAAATAAACTGTAGCACTGTAGCACTGTCCTCCCGTTATTCATCGATTTGCTCGAGTGGGCCCGGTAACGTCTCCATTGTGAGACTTGTTGTTACTGTGTTTTGGCATATTGAATACATCACGGGTAGCTTGCCAGGCTTTGCCGTGCGGGCGAGATACTCTCCAGAGCTTGCTGGGCTCTCTGAGAGGGGCAGAGGAATTGAACCCAGCTCTGCCAAGCTGGCTGCACGCAAGGCAAATGCCCTACCGTTGTGCTAATAAATAAACAACAACAGAAAATATCACTTCTCTTTAAACGACTAAAAGCTTTTGTTACTGTTTTTTGAGCCATACCTGGTGATGCTCAGGGCTTACTCTTGACTCTGTACTCAGGGATCACACCTAGTGGGGTTTGGGGGACCGTAGGAAGTGCCAGGGCTTGAACCCAGGTTGGCTGCATGAAGGCAAGCACCCCATCTGCTGCACTTCTGCTCCAGCCAAGAAGACCTAAAATTTGCAAAGTTCAATACCCTGCCCCTGCCTCTGCCCCCCCAAAAAAGCAGGAGACAAAAAATTGTGTGTGTGTCAGAATGCCCTTCCTGTTTTAATCTAGATATTCTATTTATCCTTTTTAAAGGGGTTTCCTAAACTAAATTCCATTGCCTCTTCAACTGCATTTAAGAATATTCTCCAGGAACTGGAGAGATAGTACAGCGGGCAAGGCCTTACATGCGGCAGACCTGGGTTCAGTCCCCAGAACCCCATATGGTCCCCCAAGCACCGCCAGGAGTGATTCCTGAGTGCAGAGCCAGGAGTAACCCCTGAGCATCGCTGAGTATGACCCAAAAAGTCAAGAAAGAAAGAAAGAAAGAAAGAAAGAAAGAAAGAAAGAAAGAAAGAAAGAAAGAAAGAAAGAAAGAGAGAAGAGAGAGAGGGAGGGAGGGAGGGAGGGAGGGAGGGAGGGAGGGGGGCGGGGGGGAGGGAGGGAGGGAGGGGGGGAGGGAGGAAGGAAGGAAGGAAGGAAGGAAGGAAGGAAGGAAGGAAGGAAGGAAGGAAGGAAGGAAGGAAGGGAGAAGGGGCTGGAGCTATAGCACAGTGGATAGGGTGTTTGCCTTGCAGGCAGCCGACCCAGGCTCAATTCCCAGCATCCCATGCAGTCCCCTGAGTACTGCCAAGAGTAATTCCTGAGTGCATGAGCCAGGAGTAGCCCCTGTGCATCGCTGGGTGTGACCCAAAAAAGAAAAAAAAAAAGAAAATTTTCTAGTGAGAGCAATAGTACAACGAATAGTGTGTTTGCCTTGCACATGGCAGACCTGGGTTTTATCTCCAGTATCCCAATCCCATATGGTCCCCTGAGCACCAACAGGAGGATTTTTCAGTGCAGAGCCAGGAGTAACACCTTAGCATTGCAGGGTTGCAGGATGTGACACACTCTCTCTCTCTCTCTCTCTCTCTCTCTCTCTCTCTCTATATATATATATATATATATATATATATATATATTCATTCCCATTGTATTAACTGTATACAGTTAATCAGATTGGAAAGTACAGGGGTCAAAGAGTGTATGTTTCTATTCAGGTTAAAATAACACCAATAGTGCTCGCTTCGGCAGCACAGATACTAAAATTGGAACGATACAGAGAAGATTAGCATGGCCCCTGCGCAAGGATGACACGCAAATTCGTGAAGCGTTCCATAAATTTTTGTGGTGGTGGGAAATGGGCACTGGTGGAGGGATGGGTATTTGATCATTGTATAATTGAAACCCAAGCACAAAAATGTGTAAGTCTGCAACTGTACCTCATGATGTCTCACTATTTTAATAAAAAAAAAATAACACCAATATCCTGCATCCAAGTTAAGTCTTGCTCATGAATCTCTGCCATCTTTCCTAGAACCAACAGTCTCTATTCCGGAGGCAGAATACGTCGTGGCGGAAGCTGTGGGGGAGCTTTTGATTCCCGTCAGACGCTCCGGAGACGTCAGCCAGGAGCTGAGCGTCCTGTGCGCTACACATCATGGTAGGAGGCTGGCGGGCGCCACTCACCCCACCCCGCAGCCCTGTCCTGACGCTGACCTCCAGTGCCCCATCTTCTCCGCCATGAGCTACATTCTACTCACAAGTGGCATAAAAACCTCTTTTTCCGCTCTTTTTCTGAGGGTCCAGTGAGGCAATCCAGGTGTAAAGAATTTATTTGAGGATCTGGCGCAATAATACATTGGGTAGGACGTTTGCCTTTCACGCGGCCGACCCAGGTTTGATCCCTGGCATCCCATAGGGTCCCCTGAGCACTGCCAGGAGTAATTCCTGAGTGCATGAGCCAGGAGGAACCCCTGAGCATCGCCGGGTGTGACGCCCCCCAAAAAAAGAATTTATTTGAGGGGCTGAAGCAATAGTACATCAAGTAGGGCATTTACCTTGCATGCGGCCAACCTGGGCTTGATCCCCGGCATCCCATAGGGTCCCCTGAGCACTGCCAGGAGTAATTCCTGAGTGCAGAGCCAGGAGAAACCCCTGAGCATCACCGGGTGTGACCCAAAAAGCAAACGAAACAAAACAAACAAGAATTTTTTCGAACTAATGAAACATGTAAATAAGGGATTCATCATTTTACTAGTGAACCCCGAAGAAACACGGTCCACACTGTCCATCTATAAGACTTGGTCTCTCCCCCCTCCCTCTCCCCCAGCCGAGAGCCCAGGCACCTCGCTCTCCTGTGCTCACTCACCTGTACACTCAAAGCCCCCCTCCCTCAAGGCCAGCTTCCTCACGCAGCTAGAAGTGGGTAATGGATAAAAGTCCAGAACTTGTGACATTCTCAGCAGCTTGGATAGAAGGGGGGGGGGGGGGATTCAGGCCCAATGCAGTGCAGTCAGAAAGAAGGATGAACACTAGCTGATTGCACTCACAGAGGGATGCAAAGGAGGAGAGCGAGGGAGCAGGGGAAATGAATCCTGAGGTTTCTAGGTTGAATGATGTTCTAGAATGAAGCCAGAGCTGAAGGTACTTAGAAAGGAGGGGCTTCGATGCATGGTGGGGGGTGTGATGTGACAAGCACTGGTGCCAGTCATGAGATGCTTCAGCTGCCACATTAAATAAAAGGTTGATGGGGGTAGGGGGCTGGAGTGATAGCACAGTGGGTAGGGCGTTTGCCTTGCATGCTTGGATAGATTCCCAACATCCCATATGGTCCCCCGAGCACCGCCAGGAGTAATTCCTGAGTGCAAAGCCAGGAGTAACCCCTGTGCATTGCCAGGTGTGACCCAAAAAAGCAAAAATAAATAAGTAAATAAATATAAATTTTTTTAAAAGGTGGTGAGTAAATAAATCCACCACTGATTGGAGGGAAATTTTATATTTCTATATGGGCTGGAGCGATAGCACAGCAGTAGGGCATTTGCCTTGCATGCAGCCAACTCGGCCTACCCAGGTTCGATTCCTACACCCCTCTCAGAGAGCCTGGCAGGCTACAAGAGTTTCTCACCCACACGGCAGAGCCTGGCAAGCTCCCCGTGGCGTATTCGATATACCAAACACAGTAACAACAAGCCTCACAATGGAGACATTACTGGTGCTCACTCGAGCAAATCGATGAACAACGGGAGGACAGTGCTGCAGTATATGGAACTATAGGATAACCAAGCAAATGGAAGAAAAGAGAGTGGTCTGAGCAAGTCCCCTCTGTCTTTCTCCACTGGCCCCCAAATTTCACCTCTGCCAAATGGCTCTGGTTCCCCCATACCAACCACTTCTCCAGCTCTTGGCAGATGCCCTGTCCGTGTGTAGCATCCCCTTCCCTTTGGGTTCCCTCGACTCCCCCAGGAGATGCAGACCCCCAAGGGGAAGCCCTGTAGAGATGCTCACCTTTTGCAAGTCCAGGTTTAGATGCCGATCATCCGAGCAGTGGCTCCTATGATGACTTCGGAGCTCGAGACTTTTCTAGAACATCTCAAGAGAAGGTTCAGTTCCTTGGGTACAGGATTCTGCTAAAAGAATGACTGGTGGGGGGTGGGGCTGGATGGAAGAAATACTTGGGGTGACTTGAAGACTCCGGCACATCACCCTGCCAGAAGTGAGCAGAGCTTAGGGACCATAGTAAGTGCCGGGATCAAACCCAAGTCAGCCACATGCAATGCAAGGGCCATTCCCACAGCAATACTCTCAAGCCCCTGTGCTTCCAGTTCTAAACTAGCATTATCCTGTGGCAAGGGGATAGTTCTAGAGAACTAGAAGTGGTCCTGAGTTCTCTTTCACAGATGTCAAACATGTACTGCAACCACCAGGAGGGGAATGAGGAACTAGGCTGATGCTGTGTTTTGAGGGGCAGGGGGAGCCCCAAGTTCATTAGAGTTTCTGACCGCAGTGGTATTGCCTGTCCCAAACACTCCCCATAGATACCCTCCCCTCTGGCTGGGGGCCATGGCCTCCTCAATGCAGTGGTTGGGACCAGAAGAGCTCAAGGAGACAACGCCCCCTTCTGGGGAGCGGCAGCTCTGCCCTGAACGTCTCCACTCACGGCTGTTGAGTAAGGATTTGCCAACTGAACCGAGTTATCATTGGCTGGCTGGGTCTTATGGCTGGGCCATCCGTCTTTCCGTCTTTTGCTTCTCATCAGTCATTTTTTCAGTGGGAACGTGCTCTCATTGGGAGAAACAGCCAAAGAAGGGCGAACTTCAGAACTAAACACCCACCAAGCAGCGACGTTCTCAAAGCATCCATCCTTGGTTCTGTTCAGTATCAATTTGAATATGTTGAGATTCTTCAGGGATCAGCTGACCCCTTTGGTAAACCACAGTCCGGTCCCATTGGGACTGTTTCCTCGGTCTGTTAAGGAGAAACCAGAAAGCGGTTCATTCTGTGCAAACTCCAAGAACATCCAAGAGAAAGACTGTCTCCCCCCCCCCCCCCCGCCTTTTTTTTTCTTTCTTTTCTCTTTTTTTTTACTGGAGGGGCAGTTTTAAGTCACACCCATATTGTGCAGAGCTTTTTCCTGTGCTCAGCGGTCATTTCTGTGCTCAGGAATCCATGCATAGTGCCTGGGATTGAACCCAGGCCAGCTGTGTGCAAGACAAGCGCCCTACCCACTATACTAGCTTGCCTTCTAAAAAAAATTTCCTTTCTTTCCTTCTGAAAAATATCCTGGGCCAGTGATACAGTACAGTGCAAGGTGCTTGCTTTGCATGCAGCCAACCTGGGTCTGATTCCTGGCACCCCATCTGGTCCCCTGAGCCCCACCAGGAGGAATCCCTGAGTACAGATCCAGGAGGAAGCCCTGAGTACAGACGGGTGTGCCCCCCCAAATGTCCTAAGTCCCTTATTCGGTGACAGGTGCATTGCTAGTTGCGGCATTAACCTTCTCATCTCACACTGATTGTCTTGGATTCTTACAAGTTCTTGATTGGCAGGTCCAAGGGCAGAGGGCAACATTCCTGCTTGTCTTGATTTCAACCTCAGTCTTGAAACTCTAGATTGGGAGGGTTTTTTTTTTTTTCAGTTATTTTCAAAGTTATTATTTCTGCTTCCATTGCCATGGGGAGAGAAACTGTGTCATGTGGAGCAGCCTCTTTGCTGCTGTCTGTCTTTCCTGGGGTTTTAAGACCCCACATTTGTCTGATGGAAGCAGGGATGGGGCTGGGGGTTTCGCTTCTCCAGGATCCAGATGCTCTGGGTCAGGTCTTTGCCTGGGGAGGCCCTGTGGTGCTCCCTCACCCCAAGGATTCTCTCTCTCCCTATTTTCTCTGCACTCTCGTTTCTGATCCAAATGTGTGAATGAAGGGGTTAGGTCAAACCAGCCCCAGGACCCTATGACTTTCCATTTGCTTCGCCCTGAATCCAAACAGACCTTATTCTGTTTGCACATACCCTGATTAAAGACCACTGTTTACAGATCACATGGGCACACCGGAGTCTGCTTTGAAAATTAATTACAATTTCCATAGTGGCAGTTGTCAGATCCAGGTGTGCCATGTAACTCAGAGAACTGTTGTCTATAGGGGGATGGATCGACAGTGCAGTGGGTAGGGTGTTTGCCTTGCACACAGCCAACCCGGGTTCAATTCCCAAAATCCCATATGGTCCCCCGAGCACGGCCACGAGTAATTCCTGACTGCAAAGCCAGGAGTAACCCCTGTGCATCACTGGGTGTGACCCAAAAAGGTCAAAAAATATATATGTATTATTTGAAGAAGCAGCGGGTTGGAAAGGTGGTTCAGAAGTTCAGTCAGGGACTTGCTGTGCATGCAGCCAATCCTCCTATCCCTTCTGCCACAGCCTGTGGTCCCCTGAGTACCACCAGGGGTCACTCCCGAGCACAGAGCCAGGTCTAGCCCCTGAGCATCCCTCCCAGCCCCTTCCCTGTGCAAAAGAAGCAGCAGCCAGGAGCAGATTTCCTGATGGCCCGTCCCCTCTTCTGGTTTCTCTGACCCCAGTCTCTTCCCACAGGGTCTGCCACCGGCTCCATCCCCTCCCGCATGCTCTCCTCCTCCGACTACATCTCCCGTCCCAGAGACCACACGAGCATCCTCCGCTTTGACAAGCACGAGCTGGAGAAGAGCTGCAGAGTCCTGATCGTCGAGGACTCCCTTTACGAAGAGGAGGAATCCTTCAGGGTTGCCCTGAGCCTGCCGCAGGGAGGGCGGCTGGGCGCACGTTTCCCCGCAGCAAAGGTCACCATCCTGGCCGACCCAAGAGACGGTGAGTCCTCCCCTCCCTTCAGGGCTGGCCTGGAGCTTCCTTGTCTCTCTTCCACCCGCCCTGGAGAGACAGATCTAGCCCAAGCTGTCTTTGGAAGGTTCCTCTTTCATCAAAGCTTCGGCTTTTCACATGCATTGGTGTCGCTGTTACCACATTCCATGCTCAAGTCACACCAAGCACAGGCTACAGCTCTGTTCCGAACACACAGAAGGCATTTTGGACAACTCATTGTTGGCAGAGGCACCTGGATTTATCATTTATCCAAGTGGTCGGGAAAGTTCTCGCTCTGAATTATAAAAAGCAGGGGCTGAAGAGATAGCACAGCAGGTAGGGCGTTTGCCTTGCACGCGGCCGACCCGGGTTCGATTCCCAGCATCCCATATTGTCCCTTGAGCACCGCCAGGGGTGATTCCTGAGTGCAGAGCCAGGAGTAACCCTTGTGCATCGCCAGGTGTGACCCAAACAGCAAAAAAAAAAAAAAAAAAAAAAAAGCAGACAGTCATATAACAACAGTTACAGAAATAAAGTGATTCTTTGATTAAACATGAAGGCACCATGATTTACATAGTTATTTATAGTTGAGTTTCAAACGTACAATGTCCCAACATCAGTCAGCACCAGAGTCGATCTCCCTGCCCCAGTGTCCCCAGGTTCCCTCCCACCCAAGATGAAATGTTTGTTTTTCGGCGATGCTCAGGGTTACTCCTGGCTCTGAAAACTGAGAATGTTGCAGAAAACTGAGAATTATCTTTTCTCTTGGATGACTCACTCCATTGTTAAACCAGTCTCTTACAGAGGATTTCCTGGGGCCAGAGAGATGGTGCAATGGTCAAGGCCATGCATGGTGTGCCTTGTCTCAGTTCCAACAACAGCCTCCAAGCTCACTTATTTTCTTTTTTCTATTTTTTTTTTTTTTTTGCTTTTTGGGTTACACCCAGCGATGCACAAGGGTTACTCCTGGCTCATGCACTCAGGATTTACTCCTGACAGTGCTCAGGGGACCATATGGGATGCTGGGAATCAAACCCGGTCAGCTTCATGCAAGGCAAACGCCCTACCCGCTGTGCTATCACTCCAGCCCCAAAACTCACTTATTTTCAAAGATACCCATTACTTGCTCTATTGTTATTCACTTACATATCTACTAGAATTATTTCATATCTACCAGAACAATCTACTAGAAATGTCATCTTTACAAATGTCGACCTTTACGTTTACAGCCTAAAAGGTGGTTCTGGTACTTTAGAAGATTCATCTCCTCATCCATCAAGTCTTCCCTGGGTGGGAATAAATGAGATAAATGAGCACTGGGCAGAGGAGAACCCAGAGGACAGATAACCCTAGGGACCCTTGCTCCCTTCCCCCTTCCCCCTTCCTTCCTTCCTTCCTTCCTTCCTTCCTTCCTTCCTTCCTTCCTTTCCTCCTTCCCTCCCTCCCTCCCTCCCTCCCTCCCTCCTTCCTTCCTTCCTTCCCTCCCTCCCTCCCTCCCTCCTTCCTTCCTTTCTTCCTTCCTCCCTTCCTCCCTTCCTTCCTTCCTCCCTTCCTTCCCCTCTCCCTCCTGCCTTTCGTTATTCTAAAACTGAAGTCACAGAGCATTATAACACTGGGTCTGCTTCCGAGGTAGATCATTTTGTTTGTTTGGGGACGGGAAATTGGGCCACACCTGACCATGTTCAAGGCTTACTCCTGTCTCTGTGCTCATGGATCATTCCTGGTGGCGCTCAGGGGATGATATGTGATGCCAAGAATCAAACTGGGGTCTGCCGCCTACAAGGCAAGTGCCCTTGCCCCGAACTATCTCTTCCTAACCACTGTTTCCTGCCGTCAGTGACCAGTTCTCCTTCGTTCTTGAAGACCAGAGCCCAGCATTATTTGTCCCAGAAATGCTCCTTCTGAGACTAGCAGTTGACTCCTTTTTTGACCATAGCACTCAGGGTTTAGCTGATTAAGTCCTGTGACTGCCTTATTAGACAAAAAGTACCTCAGATGCAGGAACGCATGCTCGCCTCCACCTCCCCAGCAACCAGTAATAAACTAGAGCATAGAGGAAATACTCAAGAGACTCTAGCTTAAGAATAAATAGGGGACGGAGAGATAATCCAGTGAGCAGGGTGCTTGCCCTGCACCCCGGCATCCCATATGGTCCCTCAAGCATCACAGGAGGGATCCCTGAGCGCAGAGCCAGGAGTCAGCCCTGAGCACAGCCAGGCATGGCCCAAAACAAATTTTAAAAGGTAAAAGGTAAAGGCCCTCCCGTTGTTCGTCGATTTGCTCAAGCGGGCCCAGTAACGTCTCCATGTGGGCGAGATACTCTCGGTAGCTTGCCGGGTTCTCCGAGAGGGGCGGAGGAATCGAACTCGGGTCGGCCATGTTGGGTGCGTGCAAGGCAAATGCCCTACCGCTGTGTTATCGCTCCAACCAAAAAAAAAAATTTAAAAAAAGAAAGATTTTTTTGTTTTTTTGCTTTTTGGGTCACACCCGGCAATGCATAGGGGTTAATCCTGGCTCTGCACTCAGGAATTACACCTGACGGTGCTCAGGGGACCATATGGGATGCTGGAAATCGAATTCAGGTCGGTCGTGTGCAAGGCAAACGCCCTACCCGCTGTGCTATCACTCCAGCCCCCCCAAAAAGAAAAAAGTTTTAAATGGGATCAGAGAGATAGTACAGTGGGTAGGGCATTTGCCTTGCACATGGCCGACCCGGGTTCAATCCCCGGCATCCCATATGGTCCCCCAAACACCACCAGGAGTAATTCCTGAGTGCAGAGCCAGGAGTAAACCCTGAGCATTGCTGGGCATGGGCATGGTCCAAAAAGCAAAAAAAAAAAAAAAAAAAAAAAAAAAAAAAAAAGTTTTAAATACAGAAGAGTGTGATAGTTTGGCAGCTGGAAAAACCTGAATTTCCTAAAGATGTGTCATGTCAAGAGGGCCTTCAGGAGAGGTCATATGTGTCACCTCTAGTAAGGGACGTTTTCTTGGGGGTGGGGAGGGTTATACCTGAGCTGGGAAGGGTGGTTGGCTGCTTTAACGGATGAGCAAAAGAGAAGGGATTAGAAGGATTGTGCAGCATTCCTGGGGTCTCACAGAGAAAGGGTCCGGGGGGGGGGGGGGGGGGGGGCGACCCCGGGCCCGGCGCCTGGTTTAGGTCTGGTCCCACAGTGCCATCTAGAGGGAAAAACAGTTCCCAGCACACACCTGGTCTCACGCTAAGAAGCTGGGGAAGGACTGATGAGTGACCAAGAAGCTTCTCCCCCACTATCGAGAGTGCGGTGATTTCCAGAAACAATAGATGTGGCCCAAGAAAAATAGAATCTGTTCGCTTCTACCCCGAGACCATGGCGAGATCATCATCTCAGCAGCAGAAGGGGACCAGCAGGGCCCGAGAGACGGTGCTCAGAGCAGTGGGTGGACCCCCAACTGCAGCCTCCTCTTTCTTCTTGTTCTTGTTTCCGGGGCCACACCCAGCTATGCTCAAGGCTGACTCCTGGCTCTGTGCTCAGGGCTCACTCCTGCCGGAGCTTGAGGGACCCCATGGGAGAAGGCAGAAAGCCCGGGGAAGGGAGGATTCCTTTGCAGAGAGGGCGGCTGAGAGAGCCCCTATGGGGCGTGAGGCCCGGGGACTCGCGTCCAGGGCAGAAAAGTGTGTTGAGGACGAGGAAGTTCCAACCTGGCCGAGCAGACAGATCGTTGGTCTGTCTGCAGGTGGCCCTGTCCACTCACCGACTGTCTCACAGGCCGGGTGTTTCTCTGGATAAAGCGACACAGAAAGAGTGTGGCGACCAAGGTGTACACCTGGGCTGTGACACCCACAGCAAACCAAGCCTGTGTGGACAGAGGCCCCTGGCCCCAGGCCTCCTGCCTTCTCAGACTCTGATGAGCAAATGCGAAGAGGCAAGGCACAGCCGCAGCCCCCAACCCCCACCCAAGGGGGCAGCGGCTTATCCCAAAGCCAGTGAACAATGTCCCATAGGGGACATTGCTTGGGTTGCCTCGGGCATTCAGCTGGTGTCACTTAGCACGAGTCCAGGGGCAGAGTCACTGCAGGTGGCTTGCACGGGCCTCTGTGCTTGGCTTCCTGTCGTGGGAGGTGAGGGTGACAGTCCCCCAACCCAGGGGGACGCCTGAGCTTCTGTCCTGTCTCTCCCAGTGCCTGCCCTGCACTTTGGGGACGCCGAGTATCACGTGGACGAAGGGGCCGGAGTCCTGGAGGTCTGTGTCCTGCGGACTGGCCCGGACCTCTCCCGCGCAGCCTCCGTCACGGTGCTCTCCCGGAGGACAGAGCCGGCGTCGGCAGAAGGTGAGACAGCCAGGCCCAAGGCTGGCCAGTGGACAGCGGTGGGGGAGGGCGGGTGGTGAGGCCTGTGTGGTCTCCGAGCGACCAGCTCGGGTTTCTCATCTCTCCTTCCTGGGGGCACGCTTGGACCTGATGGGCTCTGGTGTCCCGGAGCTCATTGTCAGCACAGCTGAGCAGGACCCCAGACCCCGCGTGTCTGGGACGGTGATACGAACAGTCCAGGAGAACCCAGAAAGTGGTTAATCTTGGAGGGTGAGATTTTTCACCTCTGACCTTTTTACCTCTGACCCAGCATTGTCCTGGCCCCAAGTGGCACATGCCCTCAACCCACTGGCCTCATCTTCTGCGATATGGATGACCAAGGCCCATATGACGGGGGCCCCAAGGCCAGGCTCTGAAACCCACTTGCTCTCCTAAGCCCATCAGCTGATCAGCTGCCCGCCCACCACACACAAGCCACACACATGCACTTAGCACATGCACACACATGCCACCACGTGCACAACACATACCATACGTACCATTAAAAGTCCACAGAGAAATAAGGGGACGACGACCACTACAGGGATGACCCATTTTTGCATTTGCCCAGTGGGGACGTCTGGTGAAGGAGAATGAGTCCGGCCAGTCGCGTTAAAATCAAGTGGGGGATAGTAAAAGGCTGGAACGCTGATAGTGACAGGCTGGAATGTCACAAAGGGAAACCCTCGCACTGCACATGGCCCGGGTTCTGCAGTTATGTCCCAGACTCCTTACTGCTCGCTCGTCTCTTCCCTTCCCCCTAGCTGGAACAGACTATGTTGGCCTCCGCCGGGAGCTGGACTTCACCCCCGGAGTGCGCATGCTAACACTCCAAGTGACCATCCTTGCAGATGCCCCGGGACAGCGCACCCCGGAGGGCCCGGAGAGGTTTGAACTGCACCTCCAGACGCCAGTGGGGGCCGTGCTGGCACCACCACACAAAACCACCATTTTCATCGATGACAACATCTGACTGTGAGCAGAGCGCCTGGCCCCTTCGACTTGCTGGGGCCAGAAACTGCCAGAACTCATCTTCCTAACAGCATGAAACTAGCGCTTCCAGACCTGAGCCAGTGGGAGCCCCCCCTGCAACACTGCAGTCGTGGGCGGGCCGTGTGTGCAGATAGAGCCTATGTGACTGAGACTGAGCGAGTCTGGGAACGCCTGAGCCCATAGTGGATGGGCTGTGTTCCTGCTTTCCTTTCTGTTTTCTCTTAGCTGCTTCTAAGGTCAGTGGAATTAATTATTATCAATTAAATCAACAGGGAAGAACAGAAGGATTGACCTTGGCTTGCAGATCTGATATGGGCAGGAAGTCCTTTTTTTTTTTCTTTGCTTTTTGGGTCATACCCAGAGATCCTCGGGTTACTCCTGGCTCTGCATTCAGGAATTACTCCTGGCGGTGCTCAGGGGACCATAGAGGATGCTGGGGGTTGAACCCGGGTTGGCCGCTTACAAGGCAAACGAAAGCCCTCCCCGCCGTACTATTGTTCCCGCCCAGAAAGTCCTGGCTAAGAGTACAAAAACTTGGCATCCTTTCAGTGTCAGGGGCTACTGGCGCCTCTACTTGGCTACACTTTACCCCTTGTTCTTATTTCTTCTCCAAGTCCTGAACAGAGCCATACGGAGGAGGACCCCTCATCACCTCCCCCTGCCTTTGTGTGGATCTGTAATACTCCAGAACGGTTTCTCTCTGGCTCACTATCTCTGTCTCACTTGATGGAGGGGGGACCAACACAAGACCTTCGAGACGGCAGGGAAAGCCAGACTGAATCCAAGCTGGAACTGAACTCCACATGTGATCCACTGGGAGCAAGAACATTCCATTGGTTCCCCCCCCCCCAACCCCCCCCCCCCCCGCCATCTTCCCCATTCTACTCCCCAAGGAAATTCAGCCTGGTCACAGGGCTGATGATTAACACACAAAACAGGAGTGTGCTGCCTGGATTTTGAACCCGGAGGGAGGGGGGAGTCAGGGAGAAGCCCTATTCCTTGCTTCTCGTGTGCGTTGTTTAGTCGGTGCGGCAGAGGGAGTCTCTGAATGCGTGAACTGGGGCGTCTTGTACAGAGAGACCATCATCATTGAGGCCAAAAAATAAATTTAGCTCTGAGTATGTAACTAATTGTAGTTAACACTGTTTTATACACTTGAAGGTGAAGAGGAAGTCTCCTGTGTTCACCACAAGGGGAGGCTGTACGACTGCGTCGGTGGTCATTTCCTACTGCAAAAATTCTTGAGTTATGCTATACCTGAAATTAACACTGTATACCAATTGGATAGAGAAAAATTGCTACAGTTGAACCTAACCCACTGTGACATGCAGGTCCTTTCATAAAACAAAAAATAGCCAACACATCCAATATTTCTACTTGAAAACCTGCACACAAACTGGCTGGGGCTGAAGCAAGTGCTCGCCGGGGCAGCTCCAGGAGTCATTCCCGAGTGGGGTCTGGAGGAACCCAGAACTGCCAGGGGTGGCCCAGAAGAGAAAAAAACCCGATTCGGGTCCCGAGTGCCTTCTCATCCAAGCCCCCTTCACTTGTTTCTGGAGGGGCGGGGACTGGGCCCTCGTTTCCCGAGCCATCTCTCTGGTCTCAGTTTTCTGTTCAGACTGGTGATTGGAACTTTATTTCCTTCCTTCCCTTAGTGTAAACTCAGCCCAGTTGTAGGCAGAACAGGTCAGTACTGGGATGTGACCGCACTGCTCGGCTACAAATGTTTCCCTCCCTGGGGCCTCATCATTCCTTGAGGCACCCCCCCCCCGCCCCCACTGGGGGGCTCTGTAACGTTTCCTCCGGTTTATAATCCTTCAGGGCTGGAGCGATAGCACAGCAGGTAGGGCGTTCGCCTTACAAGCGGCCAATATGGCCGACGCGAGTTCGATTCCTCCGCCCCTCTCGGAGAGCCCGGCAAGCTATTCGATATGCCAGACACAGTAACAACAAAGTCTCCAATGGAGACGTTACTGGGCCCGCTCGAGCAAATCGACGATCAACGGGAGGGCCTTTACTTTACTTTACTTTATAATCCTTCAGCCTTAGTTTCTCACTTGTTTCTCCAATAAGCTCAACACGCTCGTAGAAGGGTATTTTTTTATGGGGGAAAAAAAAGGGAAGTAACCAATCCTTCCCCAAATTTTGCACACATAAAACCCACAACTAAGCCAAAAGTCAATCTGGTGGTAGTCCCAAATTTCCAATTACTACTAAACCTGTCACCAATACCATTTCCCCCATGACTCTGAAGGTAGCAAGCCTGTATACATTTTAGAAAATCTGGCCGAACAGGAATCCTGTGTGTGGACAAATGAAAATAGAAATTTTATTGCAAGAAACTTAATTAATGTAAAAAGATCCATGCCTAGAGGAAAAAGTAAAAATCAGATTAAATAAAGCATATTAAAGAAATGGAAAGACCACTTAAGGATTATAAAAGTTATATTTATTCACGATGCTACATTTATTGCATTCCCTTAGAAAAATGGAGAACTATTTATGTACCCAATTTGCACATATAAAACTTTATACAAATTATGTGTCGCACATAAAGGCCTCTGGTACAGCTAAAATTCTGGCACTACAATTTGGGTATTCCTGCGTCAGGGTCTCTAGTTTGATCAAGTCCGTCCGTCCATAGGAAACAAAATTCGGAATTACAGTCTTGTTGCTCACACTTAGAAATTACCTTAAAATAAAATAAAATATTCAATTACTCTAACTCAAAAACAAAGCTACAGTGAAAGGAGAAACACTTTGTTATGAATTTCAGACAGTAAAAATTCACACCATATTTTGCCTGTGTCTTTTTAAAAACAGAACAAAACAAAACAAGAATCACCGTAGTTTGAAACATTATCTAAGCTGTGGCTGCTTCAGAAGGCTAATTTGCCAAAATATTTACCAAACACTAAAAAATAACAACACTCCTTTTACAAAATGGTACAACGCTGTAAGAAACCGGAAAATACTAAATGTCTTTGGCTATACAACTAAAAGGCCATTCTTGCAACAGAACAGGGCATGGTCAGCTCAGGACGTTAAGAAACAGCGTTAACAGAAGTATGGATGAATGGAACGATAAATTGTCTTGCCTCTCCCCTCCACTCAAGCCATGTAATAAGGAGAACGCAATTTACATAATCTTCCCAGATGAGACTCAACAGCACTACAAAGAAGATACCCAAATTTCTGCAAAGGCAAAGTGAATCCAAACAGTTACACAACTAAGACGAAAAGGATGAATGTTATCTGCGAAATTTTTTTTTAGTCGTTTGCTTTTATTCTAAAGCTGTGTGTGGAAATTATAGCTGATAAAGTCACTATCTTCACAAATGAAACTATAATAGAAAAATAAATCAAATGAAACATTTATTAATAAATGAAGCCTATTTTATTACTTCAAATGTTAATGATAAAAAAATCTTCAGCATAGCTGTTGCATTAAAAAAAGTGAAACTACATACTATGTTTCTAGCTCGGTAAACAGATGAACCTGATGTCTCTGAATGACAACCATAGAGCATTGTACAGTACATCTTATGAAGACCCGTAAATTAAAGAACTACTGGTTTAAAGTTAGTGATCACGACACTGATGTGCGTTCACAGTTTCATCTTCTTTTTCCTTCCTCGACCATCTGGTGCTCCATCCATTTTACGTTTCTGTGTCTGCAAAGGAACAGAAGGAACCAGCTTCTCATCACGAAAACGACATTAAATAATGGCGGGTGGGCAACGGCACCTGACGAGCCGCTTCACATGGCAAGTATGAGTCTCTCACCCAGCAAAGTCTTCTCAGAAACGTCTCTTACCATTTACTAACATATAACAGATAACAATGCTGAAATTAAGTGATCCAATTAGTAACAATAAATATAACAAATGTACAGCGTGCCCTCTTACCTAGAAGCATTTCTAAAGGTATCGTGTGAGGTGGCAGAAATATCAGAAGCTATCCAGACACTAATTTAATTCATGACTTGATAAAGTGAAGGTCTTAAGTAAAACCTTACTTAAAGGTTTGAAACCTTCACTTTTTACATGCAATCAGTGCAACAATCAAGTCCTTGAAAAGTGCACAGTAAGGGCCTTGGAAGCCAGTGTTTCCGAGTACTTCTTTGGAAAATCACACTCTTCCCTCGCAAGGCTGCGAGCCAGGACTTTCCGAGGCCTCCACTGCAAGCTTCCACAGACCGCTCCCGCCCCAATACTGTGGGCGACTCTCATTAACATCTTCCTCACTCCAGGCTGCCCAGTTTAATTTGCACTTTTAAAATATACTCCAGATCACAGCGTTCACTAAAACCAAAGGCTAACCAAGATATCACGGAGAGCCAGGCAATGCCACGTTCCTGACAAGCAGCAAATCCTAGGCAGCCGGGGCACCAGCTTTGCAGGCAGCTGGCCCAGACTCAATCCTCAGCACACCACAGCCCCTCACGTCCCCCGCCCCCCGCCCCATCAGGAGTAATTCCTGAGTGCAGGACCAGGAGTAACTGTGGGCATTGCCTGGTATAGGGGAAAAAAGAAAAAGTGGTGTGGGAAGGGGGGGCACGGAGGAGAACTCAAGGAAAATGTTGCCCCATCTGTGGACACTTACAGAAGGCTTTGGTCCTCTCTTCTTTTTCTCAGCCTTCTCTTTTTCTTCTAGTTCCATGTTTTCTCTTTCAATCAAGGTAATTAAAGTGTTACACCTCCGCTGAAGCTCCTGAATTGTCAACAGAAATTTACACGGTCAAACTGTGTTTTCTATCTCGAAGTCTTCATGGTTATAATTGCGGAAAACAGTGTAGCAGAATAACACAGTCATGTATACACCCTCAACAAGTATAAAATTAAAAAGCACAGCAACTTATTTTCATACAAAATCTAAATCCAGGCCACAGAAGCTGAAAGAAAAAGAAGACATCAGCAAACGTTTTCCCTGTGCTGCTGTGTATTATTCCTAAATCCCTCCTTCCCACCTGACTCCCCTCCCGGTTTGGTCATTTGCTCTGCGGTCAACACCCTTCCCACAAAGACTGCTATGAGCCCGGGTCGCAGGGTCTGGGACAAACAATCATGTAGGACAGACACACAGTGCAGGGACCAACCCAGCCCCACAGGAAGGCCCCCAGGCCCTGACAGGAGTGCAGGGCCGGTGTAGCCTGGAACTCCAACCGCGCCCCCTCCCCCCACCAAAAAGATACAGAACATTTTATTTATCCCAGTCTATCCCAAACTTAAGACTACCAAACTTGTTCATCAGCAGTATCATTACTGTGAAGACAAGATGAAGTTAAAAGTCCAAAGATCAAACTCTAAAAGGAAACCAAAATTAAATTCCTCTGAATTCTAATTCTAAGTTGTCAGAAATGTGACTTTCTGATCAGGACCATCCAGATACGGGGGATAAAAACAAAACGTGGTGGAAGAGTAGAGCCTCTTTATGCCACACTCAACACTGGGGGGTGGCAAGAGGGAAACTGGGGACACTGGTGGTGGGAAATGTACACTGGGGTGGAGGGATGGGTGCTGGAACATGGTATGACTCAAAGCCAATCAGGAACAACTTTATAACTGTGTATCTCACTGTGATTCTATTAAAAACGAACGGAGAAAAGTCTGTCCTGTCACCGAGATGCCGATAGACCCCGTGGGCCAGGCGATGGCTGGGAGAACAGGAGCACACGTCTCGCATGTGGGAGGCAGGCGGTTCCGTCAGGCACCACCTGGTCCCTGAGCACGGACGGGAGTTAAGAACTAAGATACGCGGTAATCAAGAACCAAACAGTAAGCAACATGGTTAGTTCTCGTGAAGCGATGGACTTCTTAAGAAGAAATTACTTCAGCTGTGATCCTAACAATACGGTATCCGTGGAAGCCCAAGAATCTCTCTCTCTCTCTGCACTCACCATGGCAGTCCTGGACTTGAGGAACCAGTCAAACCGGAACTGGGGAGAATTGCGGATACACTGCCGCAGCTCGTCGTACACGTTCTCTTTGTCGAAGCCCAGCTTGTGCAGCATGCAGATCAGGAAGCGGTCCTCTTCCTCCGTGTAGTTCTTCCCTTTGTTAGTGCCGTAGGATATTCTCAGCTGATGAAAGGGGGCTTTGTACCGGCCAATCTAAGAAAAAGAGCTTCTGTTACGCACAACATACTACATGATCTGGCGTTCAAACTTGAACCGGTGGGTAAAATGAGCCACCAAGAATCTCCAATCAGAATTTTCTATCCAACTCATCTGAGTTGCATTATATACTCTCTGATCTGAAACAGGGCACACCTTCCTAAAGAGAAGCAAAGTCAGACTTGACACCGAACAGGAAAGAGAGTTCTCGTGCATTTGCCGTGCCATGCATAGGAGGCCGTCGACTCTATCCCCATCACTGAAGGGGAAAAAGGAAAAGGAAAAAAGGTACCTTAGTGTCAAGTGCTTTTTTGATACTGATTCTTCTTTGAATTCTTGCCTCTCCCCTTTCAATCTGAGCCATAATCTTCTCTATGTCCTGAAGTTCGTTGCATCGTTCCCAGAACACGGCTATTTAAGAGAATAAAAATCGGACGGATAGAATTAAATGGGAGATTTAAAAAAAAAGAAAGTGGGAGATAATGTAACATTCATGGTAACGCTCACATGTAATATTAGACAGAAAGTCACATTTCCTTAAACAAAACCCTCCCTTACCCCCTCCAAAGATGAATTTGGTAGTTCGAAGTATCAACCAGGTTTACTTTTAACCATGTCATCATATCACTACACAAATTCACCTGGCACTCTAACTCCAGTAAACATGGGCACTTGAGAAGTTAAGGAACAAAATCAAAAGACAGCACGATTATTCAGTGACCTATTCCTGTTCTCTCGGCAACTACTCCTGACCTAGGGTATGAAAAAGAGTGAGGCCATTTCAAAGGGAGCACGTCTGCCTTGTTAAGCTTAACGAAACTAGATGCAACTTTTCCAACAGTCCGATTACAGCCCGAGAGAGCATTTACCTGAATACTCTATTACTTCTTCTGGAGTTTTCCCCTCTACTTCTCTTGCTATATTTTCAATATCATCACGACCCCACTTCTCATTTGCTTTGATAAACTGGTTAAAATCTCTCTTATTCCAATTGGTAAATCCCTTAAAAGGAAAAAAATAAAAGAAAAATTTACTCAGCACACCAGACCTGAAAAACATGCTATTAGATTTTACCTCTGCTTTCAAATATTACACAAATTAACTCTTGGATCCTCCAAGTTTATCTTTCTGTGGCTGTTCCCGCTGACGTTTCTGGAGGGGCCAGAGAGCGAGCTCAAGGGCTGGGCTCACACTTCACCTGCAGAGCCGTGGATTCAGCCCCCCAACCCCAAGAGCGACCGTCAAGCACCAAGGCGAGAGCAGCCCCAACGCACTGCCAAAAGGAATGGCCTTTCATGAAAGGCCTGTGCACCGTCCACTGCAGAGCGGATACTGCAGTCAAATCCAGGGGGAAGCAAGGAATATCACACGAAAACATAACAAGGATTTGAGCTTGTAACTATTAGAATTCGCGGAGAAGAGGAAGTGGGGAAGGCAGTTGAAAGCCCGGCCTCTGAATGTGCTGACCGAACCCTAAAATGTGTTAAATGACAAGTTCCTGACCGTGGGTGGCAGCAATAGGGCAACAAGGGAGGGAAGTTCGCCTTGCATGAAGCCTGACCCGGGCTCCATCCTTGGTCGCCCACAGTGGTCGTCTGAGCCCCGCCAGCAGGGACCCAGAAAACAGAGCCAGGAGGAAGCCCAGAGCACCGCTGGGGTGGCCGTGTGGCCTCCCAAGCCAACAAAAGGGCCTGGCAGGGAGGGCAGCTGGCCTCTTTCTAGAGGAGTGCTCTTGGGCCCCTGCTCTCACAGGTCTGGGGAGTGTCTACCCCGAAGCAAGGCGCCCAACCAACTCACAGCAGCCCAGACTCGAGGAGGCAAACAAAGGGGGGCCTTACAGAGATCTGCCACTGGAAACAGGAGCTGGCGGCAAATGTGGAAGATTCACCAAAAACGACACACAGGAACACGAAGACAAGAGTGACAGGAAAGACACTCCCTCGGCCTTTATCTCACTGCTCCGGCAGCGACTGACAGTCCAGGGCACCAACTGCTGCCTTCCCAACAGCTAAGTGTGTCTTTCTCCCTGACCATCAGACCTGCCCCAGCCAGCGTCTGCGGAGTGGGCGAAGGCCATACCTGCGTTAGAAGCTTCTCCTTCTCCTCCAACTCCTCGTCGTTCAGCGGCTCCGCCTCATCGATTTTAAGCTGCTCTTCCTTTTGTGCCTGTGCTGCATTTGGGAGGTCAGGATTACGAGGAACCTGCAAGTGTTTGTACTGTTGCATCATTCATTCATTTTTCCAGTTAAACTCTTACAACACGTAAGTGACATTTTGTTACAAGTTTTACTTCAACTATGAAATATAGCAACACGCAGCCAAATGTTTAAGTTAAAACCTAGCCAGATTAATTAAGAGGAGTTTACAAAGAGTAACAAAGCCTATCTGTAAATAAAATAGTTAATGGGACAGAAAGATTTCAGCAGGGAGGGTGTTTACCTTGTATGAGGCCAACCCAGGTTGTATTCTAGGACCCCATATGGTTCATCCCTCGAGCCCAACAGTGATCCCTTAGCACCCCACCAGATGTGACACACACAAAAAACAAATACAACAAAAAGTTAAGTCAGAATTCCGTAAAATGATGCATAAGTAAGTTAATACCAAGAATAATTAAACTTTGATTTCTGAATAAGGACTAGACATAGCACTGTAGCACTGTCCTCCCATTGTTCATCGATTTGCTAGAGTGGGCACCAGTAACGTCTCACAACAAATTGTGAGACTTGTTGTTACTGTGTTTGGCATATCGAATACGTCACAGGTAGCTTGCCAGGCTCTCCAAGAGAGGCGGAGTAATTGAGCCAGAGTCGGCTGTGTGTAAGGCAAATGCCTTAATGACTGTGCTATTGCTCCAGCCCAAGGACTAGACATAAACAAACAAAAAAATTTTTATTACCTTATACCCAATAGTTTTTCTGTAATACAGAATTTCTTTTTCCAGTAATTCAAATAAGCGTGGAGGAAAGAATTGGAAATCCTGAACATTGGGTTGTTTGGGAGGTCGAGGAGCCTAAAGAAAAATAGAGTATTTTCCAGTAAACAAAATAATTTTAAGTCTTTTTAATCTCTACTTCTTAAGTCCAAGCAACTGAACACATTTTACGATAAAATTAAAATGACTTTTAAATGCAGATAATTCAAAATTCGTTAACTTTTAACAAAACTGAAAGATCTCAGAGAAAATATAACCCTCCATTTCACTCAAAAATGTCGCAGAAACCCCCTCCTGGTGCCTCCCTCCTTCCTACCTTGGGTGCTTTGGGTTCGCTGACGCGGAGAGCTTCCCGGAAATACGCGTCCACAGCGTAGTTGGCTTTTCTCTCGCGTTTAGGCGGTTCGATCCACTCTGTGAATGCGATCTGGCAACACAGAACTCAGGTCAGCCACTCTGATCCCCAATCGCTGTGTCTCTTAAGCGAATGAAGCCGCCTGATGCCCGCAAGTGGGGAAACCTGGTAGTTCCTCTCGGCTGGCAACTGAGGGAGACACCCCGCGCTCAGCGCAGGCTCCGGCTTCTGGCCCATGGGTGCCGTGGGCAGAACCACAGATACACGCAACAACTCAGAGGAGGAGGAAAAGGTCAACTGTTCCCCCCCTTAACTATTACCAGACAACTCTGCTGTTAGATCTTAACAAAGGATTGTGACAATTATCCTTGCCATTAACATTAATCTTCAAATATCCCAATATTTGGGATACGTTTCCATCACACGAGGCATTTAGCTGTGAGCCTAGAGAGCAAACTTCCTTTCAGCCTGCTGAAAACTTGGCATCATGTTTAACACAAAACGCCAACAATTCAGAAGTAAGCAGAAACGACTGTTTTAGACAAGTTTCTAAGGCCTTAGTAGAAATGACTGTTTTATTAAGAGAGATTGAGAAGGCTTTAATTATCTAACAGTTAAAGCGTCCAAGTAACCAGAACATCTTTTAATTTACCTTTTGTTTTTCTCTGTAATCTTCACCTTCAAAGTTATAAACACTGGACTCCGTATCCATGGTGAAGTTCCTCAGAGAGCTCTCGCCCATCTTGGAGAGCTTCTCATTCATTTCTGCTGTCTGATGAATCAAAGAAATGCCTTATTTCAAAAGTGAGAACTTCAAAACAAGAAAAACTACCATCAATATTATAGTGCACAACAGCTTTTCATGAGGGAGTAAGTTATCTATACTCATAGAGCTCAACAAATACTTTATTCGGCAGAACACTTTTTATTAACTTTAATCATTCTATTAATTTATCATTTTTAGCATTTAATTTCCACCTTACCTTCTTTGCACCTCTCTCCAAAATACCATCAATATCTTCATCAGTAATCTCACTTTCCTTTGAGGCAAACACGTGTGTTGCCCCATGTCTAATCATTTGAAGCATTTCATCTTTCCCAATTTTGTTCAGATTCTGATCCACAAGTCTCCCTTAAAAAAAAAAAAAGATTGTGTTGCATAACATAAATCTGATCAATTCACTTTGCTGTAAACCTGGATTTTAAGTGCCAGATGGAGTGCCATGCCTCATTTGCCTCAAAAGCGAATCATTTCTTTTTATCTAATTATTTTAATTTTTACACAAAAATTTTAGGCCAAATTTTCAAAGCTAATACCCTGGGTAATAAAGTCCCTTAGATACTATCCCAATTAAGATATACTCTTAAATGAGGTTAATTCTGTTAGCAAGATTTTGTAAGGTACAAACAGATGTGCCCCTAATAAGAAGCCACTGGTAAGTAAAAAGATATGCTAAGAATATACTCCCAAATGAACTTTTCCTACTCACCAGAGTACTAAAAATGGCATGTTGCCAAACTTATTAAACAAGAATAAAATATCAATTTCTAAAAAGCTGCTCTAAGAATAGAAACTCTTGTATGTGTTCACCTTTATCACAGACAAAATAAGTTCACCAAGTCAAGGGTCGGGAGAGGCTGGCGCGCAGCCCAGCTCCGAGGGTTGCAGGGCACGTTTGGGTCCCTGGCCTCTCTGGCACCACCGGGCATCTGACGTTTGGTGACCCCAGCAGCACCAACAACCACCACAACTCCCCCAAAGAAGAAAAGGAAGACTTGCAAGTGGCAGGGATTTGGTCAATGTCATCAGCCCCAAATGCAGGCTGAACCCCAACAGAAAATACCAGGCAGAACGCGATTCACCATCAAGGAAGTGCCACCCAGACCCCTTCACATTAACAGCTTCAATTTTTGTATTCAGCCAAACATAAAATGTGGATAAAGATCCAAATTGTCTACAACTTCCTTAAATACTTGTCTCATATTTTTGGATCCTTAAAATGCAAAATTAGCCACGTAGGACTGAAAACTAGGATATGTCCAAACATATCCTTCATTTCTTCAGGTGCTTAGAGAAACTAGTTCCCTTCTGGACAAAGGAGGGAACTTTCCCAAAGGCCTCTGTGTGTTACACATTCCACTGAAGTACAGACCCAGGGTTTGCTGTTTAACGTATCTATAAGTGGGATGAATAAAGGTGCAAGCATAAAATTCTGTTCCAAAATTTGCCCATTAAAAAAAAAATTTTTAATAAACCCCTAAATTAAAAGACTCGAGCAACTTTCTAAACTAGCAGTTATCAATCCTTAAAAGTGTTTCGGGCTGGAACAGTAATAGTCCAGTGGGTAAAGCGCTGTCTGCATAGGTGTAAGCGGGCGATCAATCATCACATGTGGCCCAGAACCCAAAAGAGTGTTTCAATTTGGATGGAGCTGAAGGTTTCGTGTTAATAAAAAGTCAGGGATGTGGACAAGTGCCAGTTGCTCTCATTCATGGCAGAACACAAATAAGCAAGGAAAAGGGACATCTAATGGCCAACGAGAACAAATCCTGGGGATCTGAAAACAGAACCGGTATTAAGAAGGGGCGAGAGGAGGGGACGAGAGGGCGGCAGGGAGGGTTGAGCATCGCCGTTACTGGAGAACGCATCGTACCAAAACACTTTCAAGAGGGGGCTGGAGGGAGAGAGGACGGCAGGGTCCTGCGTCACCCTGCCAGGTGAGTGCAGGCCAGGGGCAAGCCCCAAGAACTGCAGGGTGTGTGTCTCAAACGCAATCAGCAAAAGAAAACTTAGAAGGAAAACCCATTTATGAAAATAACTGAGCGAGAACCACAAAGTCGTGGGCGATTTTCCAAAATATGGATGAATGGAAGGGAAAAAAAATTAAGATGGTGCATCATATCATCCAGAAGAAACTTCAACGTTTGGCAGGAACTGTTTGGCTCCCGCTGAGACTGCAATGCAAGAGGTCACTCTGGTCGTGACCCCGAGCTGTAGAAATAGAGCAAGTGACCTGCCTCTACCTGTGCCGCCAGCCTCAGCTCTTCGGTGGGAGATGCAGGGAGATAATGGAAGCACACGGCAGGCACGTTATCAGCACCCAACTGGAAGGAGCACTCAACAGTAAACTAGCATTGAAAAAACAAGCACTAATAAGCAAACACAGTCTTCAGGGATCCAGACATGGAACTCGAACACTACATCTGGCACCACAGGAAACCCCCGAAGAAGGGTCACCTTACATGGCAGTCTCAAGCCGCGGCTCAAAAACCAAGACACGACCATATACAGAAAGCCAACACTGCAACACGATACCGCTCACAGAAATTATCTACTCATAATGCAAACCGACAAGAGACCAAAATGAATCAAGCTAGGTTTTCTCCCATTTTTACATCCCACCCATCACCAACAGAAGGGTCAAGAGAACAAAAACGCTTCCCTTAAAGGCTGATGAGAAGTGAGTACATGAAGTTCTCATCACACCAAAATAAACCCCTCCCCCCACTCCCGAGCTCTCTCTCATCAAACGCCGGGCGCTATATATACGTGTTACTGCCCTGCTCACCCTCCTCCTTTAAATAGACAAGTAACAGCAACCAGTATCCTCACTGAATTGAGGCAGAAACTGCTCACACAGCGTCAAACTAGTTAGCAACAATCAAATTAAATGTCGTGATCTTCACAGACCTGTCCCCTTAGCAAATCTAAAGCTTCTTCTGTCTGGAAAACCACCAAGTGCTGCTGGCTGCCTGCTGGATTCAACAGATGCCTGACAGGAGTCTGTGTGCCGCGCCCTGGACTCACCCTGCTGGATGACGATGGAATCCAGCCGGAGCTTCATCTCGGCGCGCTCCACGATCCTCTCCTCCACGGTGTTATCGGTGATGAAGCGGAACACTCGCACGGTCTTGGTCTGCCCGATCCTATGTGCCCGGTCCTAGGAAATGACAGTTTTCCTTTGAATACGGCTCAGAGTCCCCACCAATGGGAGCTGAGCGCATACTGAGACGGCTAGCCAGGTACGGCTTTGAGCCAGGAAACAAGCTACCGGAACTACACTAGGTCTTGAATTCCCAAGTATCTCGGTTGGAACTGGTTTTGTAGCGAGGCGCACGCATATCACTCCTGGGGGGACCACAGGGGTGCCAGGGGCCAAAGCGGGGTCTGCCGCAGGTGAGGCCCAATCTCGCCAGCCCCACTCTCAATCAGTTTAGTAAGTAACCTAAGGACAGTATTTTAGGAGGCATGGGACATCTACCCCATAGTTGCTGTATCTGTGACAAATGAACAGATCTCATTAGGTTGTAATAGGGGGGAAAAATCTCCAATAAAACAGTATTATACAAATTCATTAAATGCTTTAGTTGGGGGGGCGGGAATGGGGGGGGGGACTTTTCGTTTTTTGATTTTGGGCCACAGCAAGGAAAGCTTAGGGACCATGTGACTTATGTTGGGCACAAACCCAGACTCCTAGATGCAAAGCAGGGATTCAGTCTGCTGGACTGTCTAGGGCCCAGACAGACGTTTTCATGGTTTCTTTTCATAATTTTTTCTTAGCTTTGAATTCAAAATGTTTCTTAACCTAACTAAATCAAACCTTAAATATTCACTGTTATTAGGGGAAGAAGTCGCATGAATAAACTCTGCAAAAAGGTAAAGGCCCTCCCGTTGATCATCGATTTGCTCGAGCAGGCCCAGTAACGTCTCCATTGGAGACTTTGTTGTTACTGTGTCTGGCATATCGAATACGTCACGGGGAGCTTGCCAGGCTCTGCCGTGGGGGCGAGATACTCTCGGTAGCTTGCCGGGCTCTCCCAGAGGGGCGGAGGAATCGAACTCGGGTGGGCCATGTTGGCTGCGTGCAAGGCAAACGCCCTACCGCTGTGCTATCGCTCCAGCCCTATGCAAATGATACAAATATCCTGGCTTTTAAAATTACTCAATGAACTACATAAAAGCAGTTATTCTGAACCCCGCTTTGTTTCAACTTCTATAAATTCACACAGCGCATTCCTACAAACATCCCTATTTTTAATAGTCCTATGTAAGTGACCACCGTTGGGGATTCCCCATTCGGTTTATGTTCACTGCCAATCAAGTTGTTATTAGCTGAATCAAGATGTCTTTGTAAACCTGGGGTACTGGAGACAGACAGTAGGCAGGGCGCTTCCCTGGCGTGCCACAGACCTGGATTTGGTTGGTTCCCTGCAAGCCCGCCAGGAGTGAGCCTTCCGATATGGACAAGGAACCCACATCTGGGCCAACGTTTTAGGTGTGACAGTGGCGAGCAGGTGGGCAGTTCGCAGGCCACATGCACAGCTGTGACCTACCCTCAGAGCCCACATTCCTCTCGCCTGGAGAGCCCCTGAGCAGCACGAGGACACTCTCCAGAGCCCCACAGCTGTCACATCCAGTGAGTGACCCCGGGCAGCAGGAGAGGACATTCTCCAGAGCCCCATAGTTGGCACGTTGGCACGTCCGATGAGTGTCCCTGGGCAGGAGAGGTCACTCTCCAGAGCCCGCAGCCGTAATGTCTGGTGACTGCCCTGGGCAGCAGGAGAGAGGGCCCTCCCAGGTCCGCCTGCAGGAAGTCCCCTGGGCTGCCCCCGGCTCAGCATTCTCTCTGCCCTTCTGCAGTCAGCAGCCCCACGGTGACCGCAGAGACAGCAGGGAGGATGGAGACCAGCTGCAGCCACAAGGGAGCCACAAGGGAGCTCCCCCTGGCCGGGGGTGACACTCTGGCTTGTTTCTAATCGGGCCCTAGCTCAGACCTCGATGAGGACAGGAGATACTGGCTCCCGCTTACCATCGCCTGGAGATCAACTTGGGGGTTCCAGTCTGAATCGTATAAGATGACCACATCTGCAGTAGCCAGGTTGATGCCGAGGCCGCCGGCACGTGTGCTCAGCATGAAGACGAACTTGGAGCTGTTTGGCTCGTTGTAGGCGTTGATGGAGTCCTGGAGGAAAAGGAAACGGCTGTCAGGACACCATCCTGTCTGCGCCCCGCAGCTCCCGCCGGGCACTGACGCACCTGCCGCTCGTCGTGCGGGGTCTGCCCGTCCAGCCGGCAGTACTCGTAGTTCCTCCACATGCAGTAGTCTTCCAGAATGTCCAACACCCGCGTCATCTGACTGAAGATCAGTACCCGGGAACCTGAGGACGAACAACCATTAGGGGCGGCACAAGTCAATTTTATAACGCGAGGCTGGACGCAACAAAAACGAACCAAGCATCACGGAATTTCAAACAGCTGAGCTGATTACAAAAAAGGAAAAAGAGAGAAAGTGCTTATCGTCCAAGTTAAATAACGCACGCCACGGCTCAGAACATTCTCAGAAATGCGCGCCCGCCTCTCTCTGGCGACTGCACCCCCAGGCTTCTCCAAGAAGCACGCCTGCTGCCGCCACGTGTGCATCCCAGTCTGTCCGACAGCCAGGGCCTCCCTGCTCCAACTAGCTCCTTCCCCAGGACTCGGCTGTACAGTGCCCTCCTGGCAAACACGAAAACCAAGGGCGCTTCTGAAAAACGATGCCAAAATCATTGTGTCCTGGAAGCTGTGACTTGTCTGCTAGCGTCCGCCTGCCCCTCGGATGTGCCTGGTCGGCGTCTCCACTTTCCCTCCACGCGGAGTAAAAACTTCACTGACACCTGAGCACTCCTGCCAAGTTCTTGCTGTGTCTCCCTGGATACTGATTCCCTCGATTATTAAACTGTTGGAGAAAGCATCTTAGAAACCAGATTTCTATGCAGAGTTAATAAAAAGGGGTGGTGGGGTAGTGTGTGGATCAGTTCACTGATAACTGACGATACTTCTGGTGATCCCCAAAGGAGATTCATCTACCGTGTAAGACTCCCACTCTCACAGACGACACAGAGACACCGGAGGCGACTGCGTGCATGTTACAGAACAACCCCACGTCCGGGACCTGTTTCAGACTACGTGAGGGCAGCAGGCACAGAGCAGACCAGAGATCTGCAGTAAATCTGCCATCGCTGACGTGGCTTCCTGGTAAATTCACTCTTCATGAGTGTAACCTGAACACACCTGTATCTCTCCCACAGACACACCTGCCCATGAAACATCAGCCTGTCTCAAATGAAATGGCGTCATGTCCCTACATGAGGTATTTAAAATACTGAAAAGCAATGCCATACACAGACAGCACCCAAAGTGGCAGTGGGGAAAGCACGCTGCATAAACGTGTCTCCCCAATTTGGGGGTCGGTGGGTGGGTGGGCGGCGCAGCTGCCTGACCCACTGATCCTCAGTGACCCACACCGCAAACTGGAGAGGTGAGGTGAAAAGCGCTTCATTAAACAGCGTGTCAACAACAGCGGAAAGCGCCAACACAGCTGCTGCAGCAGCGATGGCCCCCTCCCGTGCCCCCGTCCCTACCCCCACCCCGTCCCCGACGCGGGTCGTCTGACAGCGGGAGCAGGTACCTTGCTCTTTCAGTTTAGGGAGCAGCTTGTCCAACACCACCATCTTGCCGCTGTTGGTGACAAGGTGCATGTCTGTCGTGTACGGCGGGCCCGGCTCGGCTCCGTCGAAGAGATACGGGTGGTTGCAGCATTTCCGCAGCTGCATGAGGATGTTGAGCAGCCGCATCTTGTCCATCTTCCCCGCGGAGTTCAGGATGTCTATGTCCTTCATCAGAATCCGAGTGTACCTACGGAGGAGGACGCGGTTGAGGGGAGGGACAGCTCGACTCCTTCCCCCCCGCCCACCCTCCGGCCCATGCGCTGGGCTCACCAGGCGGAGCTGCTCTCTGGGCTCTCGATGTTCTGCCTGAGCGCCCCCACCCCCACGGCCCCCCAGCGTTCAAATAACCACACTCAGGCCCTAGATTTTCAGGTTCAAGAGTATAAATCTGTCTCACTGGGATCAATTAAAACCAAGCAAGATGCTACATTTTGAAGTGATTAAACGAAACCTGAACACATAAGGTTCTGAAATAAAACTCGAATCAGCAGCCTTCCCCAAAGGAGGGTGCCACTTTCCAATGTAGGCAGGAGGTCTTTGGTTAAGGATGCTTAGATCTACAGGGGGAAAAAAATCGAGAAAACACAAAGCATGATGAAGAGAATAAAACCAATCCGTAAGACTGAAACGCAAGTAAAAGAGGGAGGAGATTAGCAAGCAATGATCAGGCTAACAGGGGTGGGGGGGTGGGGAGTGGTAAAAAGCCTTGAATTTCATAGTGAGAATTAGGCATGACACCTAGATTCTCAGAACAAAATAACTTAAAACACACTAGCAACGTGTGCTTCCCAAGGCAATCACAGGGCACAAAATATTATGCAGGCACTTTTCCATCACAACCCCAAGCAGATCTGAAGTTCACCAGTGCGATTAAAAGTGTCTGTGTTCTTTCCTGAGGGCTTTTTCCCAGAACACACCCCCTGCGCCCCGACCTCTGGCACAGACTTATCAGGATTAAGTAAGACACTGAATGCACTGGGATGCCGCCCAAAGAGAAAAGAACAAGATGACCATTTCCCCCCTTCAAACACTATCTCTATACTAAGTTTCTTTCCTAAAGTCTCTTCACTTTACTAATTCATGCCAGGCTTCCGATCTACGAAACACTGTTACAACCCGGAAGTCCAGAGCTGACCCTGCTGGACAAGGCACTCGTCACCGCACACAGGCCCCCACCCCCCATCCCAGGGGACTCCTGCCCCCAGCACATACTCAGGAACAGTCCCGGAGCAAAGCTGAGCTTGGCACAACTAAAAGCAAAACACAGAAACAAGCCTACTAAACCACAAGCTTCAAGCTTTGAGATTTTATGTTCTCACAGAACAATGAAACCAGAAACCAAACTTTAATAAAAGATTGTGATCTTCAGTTTGCCCTACTCAGGTGTTGAAAATTATTTGTGCAATTATGGTGATTATACATAGTATAATCACCATAATTTCACAAATCAAAATTTTATCCCCCCGTAAAATAAAACATTAACTCAATAAAAAACTAAGCAGATCTCAGCTAACTCTAGGATCTGCCCAGGTTCGGGACTGACGAGCGCTAACCCCTGGCCCCTATTTATTATGAACAGCGCAGTTCATCAGGGCTCAGAGCTTCGCTGGGAGATAATGCAGGGGCAGGGCACTGTGTTCTGGGCCCAGCATGACCTTCCTGCCCCGCTGGCCAATGAGGCCTGGGAATGCCCCAAGAGGACACCTGGAGCTCAACCCACTCCTCACCCCCGCCCCCCCCCCCGCCCCATCAAAGAAACACCTCACGAGAGGGCTTGGATAGAGCCCTACGTTTAAACGCCAGGCTTCATTTCTGGATTCAGTTATCCTGGCTCCATTACTGAACGATTTCAAGACTTCAAATCAAAAATGTTATGAGCAAGTCCTGTGCTCTGAGGCCAGAAACCCACATGGACAGAGTAGAATTTGACACATAGGAATTGCTTAGAGACACAAATCACGAAAGCCCCAAAGACAGACAGACAGACAGACAGACAGGGCTGGAGCAATAGCACAGTGGGTAGGGCTTTTGCCTTGCACTCGGCCAACTTGGTTCGATTCCCAAGCATCTCATGTGGTCCCCCGAGAACCGCCAGGAGTAATTCCTGAGTGCATGAGCCAGGAGTTACCCCTGAGCATCACCGGGTATAACCCAAAAAGCAAAAAAAAAAAAAAAAAAAACCCCAAAACAGACAGGCATTTCAGCACACATACCATTCCCTCTGCATCTTACTGAGGCCCACGTAGATCTTCACCTCCTTCTTGGGAGGCAGACTCTTCTCAACATCAGCCTTGATTCGACGGAGGAGGAATGGACGCAAAACCTTTCAAAGACAAAACGAAACGGAGATGACCTGAGTGCAATGCAAGCCTGATCCTCAGGCCACCATGCCATCGGATACTCAGTAATGGGTCTGCTTCAGTGCCGAGGATCCATCTTTGAAACTTTGCCCCCCACACACCGCTTATTGTCAGTAAGAGTTCTTGAAGGGTAATAATAGACGATTCCTTATCTCAATATTCGAAACGCATATTTGGCCTATCACCTCATCAGAGACCAAAAAAATAATAGCAAGCTTTAACTTTTTGGTATGAAATTTTTAGGTTTGAAGCTGGAAGGTTGTCTAATAATACTCCAAGAAATGCCTAGATGAAGTTGCCATCTCTTCTCGATAAAAGCAGACCCCATGTGTGTAATACACAAGTCCTGACTATATAGTTGGCATTTTTCTGTGACGGAATCGGACGCAGGGCCTCACACGGCAAAGCACCCACTCTGCCCGAGCTACACCCCAGACCCACCACACAACATATTCTAACTCAGTAAACACACCCATGAACCAGCGAGATAAATTAATACCCCACAAGTCCTTCTTATGACCTTTCAGGAGCAATAGGACAATGGCAGGGCATTCGCGCTGCATGTAGCTGACCTGGGTTTGATTCCCGGCACCCCAGATGGTCTCCTGTTATCTGAGTACAGAGCCAAGAATCAGCCCTGAGCACAATTAGGTATGGCCCCAAAACCAAAATAAATAAGCAAATAAATACTATTACTTTCCCCCCAAGAGTAAACAATGGTTTTGTCGGTTCCTTCTCACAAAACTTTACATATATGGAATCATTCATTATGTACTATTAAAATTTGTTTTTCTTCATTCAACACTTTTGGAGACATAATTCATGTTCTACAAGGCAGAGCTTATGTATATAAATTGCAAAACACCTTGAAAGGAAAGAGGTTTTTTGGTTTGTACCTTTCTTTGTTTTGGGGCCACACCTGGCCGTGCTCAGGGCCAACTCCTGGCCCTGCACTCAGGGATCACTCCTGGCGGGCTCTGGCGACCAAACAAGGGTAGACTGCAAGCAGGCACCCTAGTGGCTCGCTGTACTAGTGCTCAGGCCCCAATCAAACATCATAGTTGCTAACCCCCCCATGCTTTTTAGAGAAAAATAATCCAGCAATTTAAATATCTATCATCTTCCCATTAGAAATATGCTTTTAACTCTACTCCAAAATACTTACCATGTGAAGTCTCTCAACCAGCTTTTGATCCCCAAGGCAATTATTTGTATCAAACCAGGAATCAAAGTCCTAGATTCACAAACCAAAAAAACATGTTAAGAACAGATACTAACTACAAAATACCTATTACCAAAAATCCCTATTAAGTCAAGTGTAACAAAACTTTTTAAATTAGTTTGTTTAGTTTCAGTCTGAACAAATCACAAAAAATCATTTTGTTTAACCCCCCTTTGCCATAACTCAGCAACTAATCTGAGAACAAGATTTCTCTCCAAACTATAAAGACAACGCTTCACGGTGCAAATAACTGGGCACTGAACATTATAGAAATATTTAGAAAATTAACAGTCTTAACAATACCCTTCTTCCATTTCATAAAAATTTATAGACATTTTGATTACCTTACTTTACCTTCTAAGAGCACTGGAATATTCAAATACAGAGATGCCCAGTGATATCAGTTTGACCCAACTCAGTGAGCTGTCTCATCTGCATCTCATCAGTATCTGAGTAGACTCGAGAGTTACTGTTGGATACTTGCTTTTATTACTATCTTTGTTAATACATAAAAGTGTATTCTTATAATTCTTAACTAAGTTTTTTCAAACCAAAACAAAAATGAAATTCAAAAAAAGCAGAACTAAATCAGCGTTCTGAAATGGTCTTTTGAGAAAAGGCATTTTTCTGTAAACTGTTCCTTTAAAAACAGCCTGTTTCAGAACTTTTTTATTTGCACAACTCTAGTGACCCAAAGTAACATCAAAGTCGCTTAGACACACATTCCAGCCACGGCCATCGAGGCTCAGAAACAAACTGGCCCGGTAGAAACACACGCTGCCACTGGCAGACTCAGACTCAAGCGGACCCAGTGCGCCCTTCAGGACAACAGTCCGAGGAGCTGACCGAATACAGTCTAAGTTATTTACTCAGTAATTTATCCACTGCAAATAAATTAGAAAGCCAAAAATCTACGTTTTATTATCAGCGGGAAGACCAACAAGAATGAGGTCCACAGAGAAAAAACATGCCTCGGGGTGGGGCCCAGAGGTGAGTAGGTGCCTTTCAGGTGCGAGGCCCTGGGTGGGATTCCTGCGCGGCCAGAATAAAGGCACATGCTTGGTGTGCGCTGCTCCCCCACCCCACCCCATCTGATTCCCAGCACCAGACACCCACTGGCTGCAGCCCGAGAGGCCCCCAACCTCCATGGCCGTGGCCTGGCTGCCCCGCAGGACCACTGGGCAGGCCGCACAGCATCCTCTGCACTCACCGTGGCCTCCTGAGAGCTACGGGAAGAGAAACCTCTCCCTGAGGAGAGAAACCAACTCAAAGCCAGCCTTGCGAGAGGCTATCTCTGTTTGGGGGCCACACCCAGCACTGCTCAGCACTTACTCCTGGTTCAGTGCTCAGGGGACCGTATGTGATATCAGCCTCATGCTAGGCCAAAGACCTACTACTACCGGCTGTAGCATCACCCAGGCAGGGGAGAGGCCATCCCTGGGACAAAATAGGCAGAATGAAGGACACAGGCCCACAAAAACCCTGCGTAGCACCTTAAAAACGTAAGCCATCCAGCAAAAGCTACTGTAACTACAAAATGCAAATCTGTGCTATTCCAAAAACCGGAGAATTCTAATTCTCAAAGAGAGGTACAAAAGTCATCTCTCAGGACACATGAAAGATGTCACAGGCTACACCGAGCTAATCAGATGAAAAAACCATCACCTCAAGTGGTGAAAAGCCACTTACATTTTTGGTAATCAGTAGAGCAATATAATGTTATGATATTATTAGTGTATTATTTTTATTACTAACAGTTACACTGTTTGACAAAAGTTACTTCCGGTCTAACCAGAAAACAACTGAAAACACTTACATCAGCTGAATTAAAGACATCTGGCAACAAAAAATTAAGAAGTGACCACAGCTCGTGCAAGTTGTTTTGAAGAGGAGTTCCAGTGAGTAACAATCGGTTTGTAGTCTTGAATTCCCTCACTATTTCTGACAACTGAAAGAACAAGTTTATCATTAGTGTGTTCGGCAAAGACAACAAATCCTTCACAAAGGCACAGTGGTGTTCAGGGCCAAGTATCAGGTTACCTTAGATTTTTCGTTTTTGATCCTGTGAGCTTCATCTATAACCAGGTACCTCCAATTAAATTTTTTGAACACAGACTTCTCTTTAATAAGCATTTCATATGATGTCACACACACATCCCATTCTCCTGGTAATAAAACATCTCTGACAAAAGCAGCCTGTGAGAGCGTAGAACAAAAAGACATCGCATAGAAATGAACCATACATTAAGTTACAGACATACAAGAAAATGAGATTCAAATGCACATATCTAGAAACCAGCTTTCCTACCACTAAAGTAATTCATTGATTGGGGAAGCATCAGAATCATTTAGAAAAAAATTCTTAAGAGGCAGGGTTATGGAGAGGAGTTAGTGATACAAAGATAAAAATATGAAGTCTATGTTTATAGATGTAGGAAGATAGTGAGTGTTATTACTCTTCTCATTTTAGAGATAAGGAAACTGAAAAATTACATACCCAAAATACGAAAGGGAAGTAAAAATACCCAAAATTTCTATGAAGGTCACCCAGGACCATCAATCAAATGAGAAAAAACAACACAATGTATATTTCAAGATGGTATCAATTTTTCTCATCTATTTTGTATCTCCGTATCATTATTTTTTCCTTCCAAAAAAGATGTTGATCGACATTTCAACAACACCCACACACTCCCCAAATTCCTTTGATTCGAGTACATCTTTAGAAACTTTCTTCCTACTACCATAATATACATCAGTCTCACCATCTGCCTCCCCAAATTCCCAACCTCACACACTCAGACCTTTATATTTTCCCTTGCGGTGACAGGGTCTCACGCACACAGGACAAGTGCTCCACCTCTGGGATATGTCCCAGGGCCCATTCAAAACTCGGGAAGAAGAAAACACCTCCAGGATGAGGACACAGCCTCTGATTTTTACAACCATATCCCAGAGCAGGAAAAAGCAAGTTATGAAGTTATCTCTTCCTTTATGATTCTAAACCACCTCGAGATTACGACTCGACCAGCTCACCTTCCTCTCTCATCCCTTCTCTTCACAGCGTCCAGCTCCCACTAGAACTCTATTACAGTCTTTAGGCATAACAAAAGGAAGCGGAACATAGGGAACTTACTCGCTGCTCTTTGTCGCCTATCAAACAGACCGATCTCAGCGTAGGCACCCATCTCTTGAACTCACTCATCCAGTTGTGTAAGGTAGACTTGGGAACCAAGACCATGTGAGGACCGGGAATGTTTCGATAGTGTTTCATGTACCCGAGAAGAGAGATTGTTTGGAGAGTCTTTCCCAGACCCTGCAAGTTTTCAGAGAAATCACAAAGTAGTAACGACGACAGCAGAATTAGTTATAGCCCCAACAGATACAAAAACGTCTAAAGGAAAGTTCCACGTTGCATGCACCGGCCCCGTGTCTGCAACGGCCCAGTCTTGCGAGCACCATCATTAGCAGCCCCGAGGGCTCCCCTATTTGAGCGGGCTCACCCTGGTCCCCCTGCATGCTCGCAACGCAGCCTGCGTGTTCTGGCTCCAGACCTTCCAAGCACTAAAGCTACAAGGAGACATTCTAAACTGAGAGAAAGCGATTCAAATCAAACCTAGAGTATCTGAAGATAAACAAGGATCCCCAACTTGCGTTTTAGAGAAGCGGGGAGATAAGGCCAAATCATCGCCATCACAGAAATCAACAATCAAAAGCACGCTTCTCAAAATGTGTTATATTTTGAAGTTTACAACACGTCTTAGATAATAACGCTGCAAAACTGAAGCCGGCTCAAGATCCCAGTGCTGCTCGTGCCAGTCTGGCAGATGACTCATTTGCAAACACTTCGAAATTGTGATCAACAGAAACTGTTATGTTGCCTAAACTTGTACAGATTAAATGATATATTTTGCATTCTTAAAAAAAAAAAAGGCCGTCTAAAAACCTACAAAGAACGTACCATTTCATCTGCAAGGATGCCATTGATGCCATTCTCATACAAAGAAATGAGCCAGTTTAATCCTCGGACCTGGTAATCTCTCAATTTGCCCCATTTTACATCTAAACACAAGAAGAAACACACACTTTAAAGACAAGAAATATCGTCAGCCAGCCCCTGCCACCCGATCATCACTCAGGAGTCCGTAGGTCTGCGTTTCCTTGCCCTGCACTGCCTTTCCCGGCAACCACAGGAAACCCACAGACTCCACTCACTCATTCACCACCAAAGCTGCGGCATGGGAACGCCGACACGGAGAAGCCCCCCGGTATGAGCCCACCACGTCCTCACTCTCACTCATCTCCCGTCTCACCCACACAAGATGCTAGCCGGGCTTTCTACACCTTGGGACTACAAGTGTCTCTAATCAGGTACTTTCCCATCCCGTGATGAGTCAGGTTTTCTGGAGATTCTGATTTCTTGCTAACCAAAGGGAAGTCGGGATTAAAGAGCTTTTCCTTTTATCTTTCCTAAATTACTCGGCAAGTAGATATGAAGAAAGATAACTATCTCTTGGGTTTACTGCAGATTTCAAAGCCAGAATTAAATTATGTACACAACCAGCATATTGCTGCAGTCTGTAGAAACGTAGATATGTCCTGCCAATCACTTCTATAGGATGAAAAGCTAACCAAGTTTTCTTACTCCTTGTGCAATATACATCCAGCTGTGGCTTCAAGCTTCATTAAATAATAACAACTAGACATCCTGTAGCCCTCCCAAACATTTTTGAAGGTCCACACTTTTAAATATATTCCTGACAAGTCTTGCCTGAATCTCAACTTGTTGAAACTTCAAGGTTACAGTAATTAAATAACAAATCTGAATAGTACGTCCTGCACATTTTTTTCTCGTTTGCTCACCACTAATACAGTCACACTACTGTCAAATAAAGTAAGAGAAAGAGGTTCTGAAAAGAGTAAAGAGAAAGAGGTTCTAGAAAAACTCTCTAGGCTTCAATCAAGTTTTTCAAATGCCACCAAGCAATCTAGTTTACAATTAGGTGAAATATAAAGTGGACGGTTTTCCTCTGGAAGATGCTTAAATTAAGAAAGGCAAAAAAATTCAACAGAAAAGCAGGAGCTGAGTAACATCAGTTTTCTGGGCAGTTAGCGGCATTGCCCCAGCAGGGAGGGCATTTGACTTGCACACAGCCAGCTGGTTGGATCTCTGGCCTCCCCTAGTACTCCGAACACCTCATTTCCTGAGTGGAGAGGCAGGAGTAACCCCAGAGCATTGCAGAGAGTTGCCCAAAACAACAAAAAAGCATTAGTTTTCTGAGGCAAGGCAAAAATCATTCCTCGTTTAACAGCTACACATTGGGCATAAAGCAATTATTATGGGGCACTATGCTCATAAAACCATTCCTATTAATAAAAGTGTGGCCCCTTCCCAAAGGGGACAAAGAGTTCCCTGTGTTAATGAGTGTCTGTACTGGTGCTTCCCAACCTTGTTTCAACCAAGGCCCCCTTCCAACCCTGTCTCCATCCAGGCCCTGTCCTAGTAGGATCCCTGTTTATGCGACTTTCACCTACAGCCACTCTCACCTGGCACAGGGTCCCCTGAGCTCCACCAGGAGTGAGCTCTGAATGATCGCAGAGTCAGGAGTAAGCCCTGAGCACTGCCAACTGTTTTCCCCTCTCCCCCATCAAAATAAGAGATATGCTGGCCTATACAAATCAAAAAAACGATGTCTCAAAAGGGCAAAGACCAAGTAATCAAACATGTATGGCATACATGACGGGGAATCTTCGAACCGAGTGCAGACGTTGGTGGCTTTGGAGCTCTCCGTCAGTAGCTCTTCATCCTCCTCTTGCTCTGTTCGACGGTGTCGGTAGCTGTCAGTTGAAGGTGAAAACCATTGATTAGTCTGGGCTTTTTAAACTTTACCAATGCTTATTTAACCTAACAGTCAGGACCTAGACTCCACAATAATCTTGTGATAAACTTAAAAAAGGGAACAGATGAATGTTGAATCTTAGGTTAACCAGAACCTGGTGTAACTATGATTATCTCAAGAAAAATACACAGCCAGAAAAATCTCACTATTTGTACCTGACAGTTATTTTAAGTACTTCTGCCGAGAACTGGGAGACGGTTAATGGGCAGAGCACAGGCTTTGCACACAGGAAGCCGGATTCGAGCCCCAGCACAGTCGGGAACCACATCCAGTTCCCAGAGCACCGGCAAGTGTAACATTCCTTCACCCACACCTCCACACGCACGGTGGATTTTTGCCAGGAAAGAGTTTCAGAAATCCTGAGTTTGGTTTTAGGTTGTGAGGCACACCGCGAAATGCTCAGTCAACTATGCAGCACCGACTCTGAAATGAGGGCTCCCACAAGCACATCCCCCATTCCTCTGACCTAACTTCCTGCCCCAAGAAAGCGTCTTTTATTTAAAACTACGGGTTTCACCAAAGGCAGCAAAATAGAAGACACTGAAATGTGCAAGCAAAGACTCTTCTCCAGAGACTCATCAGCACGAATCAAGGTTCTTAGAATTCAAGTGCCCAGGGGCAAAAGTACAAGGCAGTCCCGACCCCCAGCAGTACAGAAGACCCTCCAAGCCCCAAGGGAGTGATCTATGGGTGCAGAGCTAGGAGTGACCCCTGAGCACCATGGGTTTTGGCACTCAAAAAGCAAAATTAATAACCTTCTCGAGTTTGAAACAATTTAAATGCATCTGAAAGCCAAGTTATTGCTGATGCAGTATTGTATTAAAACAACAGCACTTCAGTACAACCAACAGATAAAGACTAAGTGAAATGCCATAATAGTATGTATTTGCTTTCTTATAATAATGCATTTTGGGGGGATGGGAGCACTGCCCCCGCCCAGCAATGCTACAGGGTTACTCCTGGTTCTGCACTCAGAACCAATCGATCCCTTTGAGACAGAGTTCACAATTCTAACTTAAAAAAACTATGTGGTAAAAATTTCCATTCTGGTGCCTAAAACACCATTATTAGCTGTGCTGTCACTCATAGTAACCAAATAAAAACTGTGGCAAGTCTGACATTCTACACTTTTGACACTTCATCTATTTTTATTACTCATCATTTCATTCTTCATTTTAAGAATTTACATGTAACTTTCAGGGAGTCAAGATCGCAGTAAACCTACTCTAAATAAACATCTTCATCTAACCAACAATAAATTTCTAAAATATAACTTGCAAATCTAACATGTAAGATCTGCTGCTTTATATACTCTGAACAAACACATAAAGGTGGTAAGCAACTTATCACTTCATTTTACATGAAGAAAACTTAAATATGTAGTTAACAGTATTAAGTAAAGTGCTATGGCATGAATTACTGTATCATTCCATGTAACAGCAGAAACTTCAGACAAAAGTCTATGTATGCCTATGTGGTTTGGGAGACCATTAGCATATTTTCCCTCCAAACTCACATCCAACTCACCTCAAATGGTTATTGCAACTATGTAACTATGTTAAATATGTTATGATATAAAACATCTATCCAACTATGAAAAAAGGAATATATGTAGGTCTTCTTTTACATTGACTACATGCTGCTAACTGTACTAAATAACAGCACCAAATAATTTTTAATGAAGAAATCTGATGCTTCTAGTCAAAACTGTCAAAAGTAAATTTGGACTCGATCCTGGTGCCACATATGGCCTCTAAGAACTGCCAGGAGATTGATCCCGGAAAGCAGAGCCAAGAGTAAGCCCTGAACGCAGCCAGGTGTGACCACCCCACTACCCAACCCCCCCCAAAAAAACCCTCAAAAAATAAATTTTCTTTTTTCCCAGCATCACATGGTCTCCTGAGCATCATCAGATGTGGCTCCAAGCCCTAGCATCGGCCCACTGTCCATCCAGAATCACTGGGAATGGCCCTAGGGACTCCGGAGTCCTTCCTGTGAGATCCAAAATACGTGAATGAGTTCAACTATGAAGGATAAACTGTCACCCACTCGCCCACTGATAACAAGTTCTGCTTCTCGTCCTTTTTGACTCGCGGACGTCCAGGTTTCATCTTCAGAGGGGAGGTTGGAGTCTTCTGAGCAGCAGGCTGGATAAAATGTGCAAACAGTTCTGTCTGCTTTAATAAATACTCAAATCTATTTGCGCGGTCAGTTTGCTGCAAAAAAAAAAAAATAAAAACCACTATTAGTAACCTACCACATCTTTAGTTCAACACGCCCTCCCCACACACAGTAACTCAGCAATAAAACTGATACATGGAAGGAGAGACTGAGTTTGGCAAAAACGAGGTCAAGTATGAGCAGCCAGAGGCAAAAATGTGTATGTGTATGAAATACTTGTCTGCTCTGCTTCTTGGGCCACACCCAGCAGGACTTATTAGGGTTCAGTTCTGGCAGGGCGCAAAGGACTAGATGGGATGCCAGAGCGGCCAACTGCAAGGTAAGTACCCTCCCTACTGGACTACGGCTCCAGCCCCTGAAATGAATTCTGACCAACGACAGATAACTGATGTAAAGGGACAAGAGAACACATGGAACTGGTTTCCATCACAACTGTGGGGCTGGTGGCAAAAAGACCACCCGCACGTGCCAACTCTCACTGAATGACAAACTTAAAACTGATCTGTGGGCTCCAAGCCAACAGCACAGCAGGTTAAGGATGGGGGTAGGGCCAAAGTATAGCAGGTAAGGGGGCAGGCCCTGCAGGCAGCGAACAGGAGGTGGCTCCAACAATCCCTGACACTTCACATAGTCCCCACTGAATCCTGCCAGGAATGATCCTGAGCAGAGTTAGGAGTAAGCCCTGAGCACCACAGGGTATGGCGCACACCCCCTCCCCCCATTCCAAATAATCCCTACTCTGTGGAAATTGCAATTGTCAGCGTTGAGTCAATCCTCCCACCAGTCAGATAGAAAATGAAACAACACTGTGCGATGTAAGTGAATTTAGGGGGCTGCACTGACTGTCGACCAAGCTGTGCCTATCTTAAAAAGTTCCCAGGCTTTAAAAATTACCTATGAAATTCATGAAAGAGTCACAAATATGACACCATTCTTAACACAACTTTCCACACCTAACAGCTACTTCTTTGATGGTTCCCGTTTCCAATCACACCAATATTATGGGAAAACTTTCCCAAAAACCTTGGAAACCCTAAAGCTTTTAGGTACTGTCTCTTAGACACAGTAAGTTTGATTACAAGGAAAGAAAACTAAGAGAACATGAAGAACTCTATAAATAGAAAAACCGGTTACTCAGAATCTGCCTAGAAATGTTTAAAATGTCAGTTTTAGAATGAATCACTTCTCAGGCTTTTGGCTAAGTTGCCGTGTAGAATGAATTGCAAAAGACACTGGCACTAGCCAACACCAGAGGTGTCCAAGATTCTCTGTGAAGGGCACCAACATCAAGGCTGAAGACCCAGTGCCCCTCCGAGGCAGCTGCCTGTGCCCCCATGCGGCACACAACCCGCTTTCTCCCTGCAGACACCACTGGCCAGCGGGTCTCGGCACAGGGGCCCGGGCAGACCCATGCTCGTGGCCTTCTCCCTCCAGGAACAGCACGGGTTCAGGGAGCAGCGGCTGCAAGCCACTATATCGACGAGAAGCCACAGCTGCTCAGTCCTGATGATTACAGACCGCTGGAAATATTGAACATGACACGTATCACACATTCTGTACTACAGGATGGCTTTTTATAATAACACAGGGCAGCTGGATATCTGCGCCCCATTATAAAACGTAAACACCCAAGTTTGGCACACTCAGTAAGTCAAAGGGCTCCGGGTGGCTCTGCATTCCCATATCCCTTGTGTGCTCCTGGGTACAACCCTCAGTGCTGCAGATCAACTGAAAAAGTTTAAAGACGCTTCATATCCACAGAACATACCATTTTTTCTTCATAGGTAGGATCTGGTTCTTGGATCTCTTTTTGTTTTCCGGGAGATGCATCATCAAATGCATCCTAGTAAGAGAGGGGGAAATCATGGAATTACTTGTCAGGACTGATCAATACACCATTATTAGGCAGATTTCTCCTCAAAGCACATTTTAAGTAGCAGACCACTGTCCCGAGCCTCCTCGGAGGTATTAACTAACTGATGGAAAACTTAGAGGTATCATTTTCAAATACAAAATTTGATGCCGAGGGCCGGAGCAACAGGACATCTGCTACGGCACATGCCTTGCATGCGGCCGACCTGGGTTCAATCCCCAGCAACCCACGTGATCACGGAGCACAGAGCCAGGAGAAAGGCCTGAGTACTACCTGCTGAGGCCAAAACAAAACAAAACAAAACCCAAACACAAGCTGCACACTAAATTCCAAGATTTTAGCATAGGATTATGTCTACTGCACGGCACAACAAAAACCCAAAAAACAAACACAAAGCTACAAGCTGACTTCCTTAAAAACCAACTCAGGATCATGTCTACAGCAGGGCAGAACAAAATTATATTTAATTTCCTTTTCTACTGAAACGGAAGAATCTAAAATTTGGGGGAGGGGGGAGCAGGTTTCCTTTTCATCATCAAATCGCAGTGTCTGCTATGCTACCATCCACACAAACAACATCTAGAGCAGCATTTCAATCATACACAAATTCCACCTTCTGGAAAATTCCCCAAAATCTGTCATGCAAATAAAACGAGTAATCGCTAACTATAAACTGATCTCTAACTCGATAACAGCTGCGCCATTCTTCAAAATGTATTCATCCGGAATTAAAAATGCGACAGATCAGGATTGGAGAGAGCACGGAGCCCAAGGCACACGGACCACTGGTCTGGGAGGGACCCCAGCCCTCCCTCCGCCACCGCCAGACGGGGCGCAGCCCCCAGCATTACCAAGTGTAACGCCCCCCCCCATGCCAAAGCAACAAAAATCAGCAATAATTGCTGTACTGTGACGTCCCGTTCATCCCTTTAAAAACACAGGCCAAGGAGCAAGAGCTGGAGCAAGGGGCTACAGTACACACTTGACAGTGGGAGCTCTGGATTCTGGTCTCCAGAGCAGCCCTGAGCCCTTCCAGGTGTGATGGGGCGGAATACAAGAACGTTCAGTAAAACTGTAATTTTCATTCATGTACAGTCTATGCTTGGCAATACATGCAATACAGCAATGAGGCTGGAGAAACAGCTGGAGAGAACGCAGGAGGCCCAGGTTTGATCTCTGTCCACCACTAGGAGTGACCCTTGAGTACAGAGCCAGGAGTAGCCCCTGGTTGGGGGGTGGGGGGGGGGAAGGGGAAGGGCTTGAGATGGGGAGAAGGGGCAGGGAGGAGCAGAGAAGGAAAAAAAGCAATCAAGTTCTAGGTGATTAAAACCCAGGGAGTGGGACTAAAAGGCGTCTGAATGAAATCAATTCAAGTTTAATTCCTCTGCTAGAACTTTAAGATACCTGCGTAATCCCGTAGAAACAACTCTGTCTCCACAAGTAAAAACAAAATCATCTAGCCTACTTCATGGGACTCAAAAACACAGTCATACATTACTGACACGCAGTAATGCCCAGCAAACTAAGTAATCAGCATACAGTGTGCCTATTAAAAAATGGTGAAATGAAGACAAGGGAGACAGGCCCAGCAATGCCTAAAATATAACAAACAAGACAGTTCCTTTATTAGTATTGGGGGAGGGGAGATTATAGGAAGGCTATAATTTCTGGAAGGCCGGCTTTGTCAGAAAAAAAAAATCTTGTATAGTGCATTATTTTCTGATTTTGCAAAATCTTATTTTGAATTATATTTTCAAACAAGAAACTCGAGATACTTTCAAATACTAGTTTTAACTCATGACGAACTTCAATGACTTCTGAATTCAGTTAAGAAAAGGACAGTCTGATGGTTTATTTTAAAATACTACCCCCCACTACACACACACACACACACACACACACCCTCCTCCCCAAACACAATATAATGTGTAGGGAGTAAAAAAAATAAATAAAAAGTAAACCTAGCCATGGAAAAGGCAGACTGACGGCTGGCTGACAAAAATAACTGCTATCCCCACACACCTAGAAGTAAAGAAACAACGGAGTCACTCCTTGAAAAATAAAACTTCCAGACACCTTTTTTGGTGGTGCATGTCCCCAGGCAAGATGTACAGGAGAAAAGTCCACTGCGCAGTCCCGTTCTAATACTGATTCTACTTAGGATCACTATAAGGCCAAGTAGTTTGTCATCTGGTCAAGCTCTGCTGATTATCTCACCAACACCAACGCCTCCACTCTTAAACCTGCAAACGGCAACTGAAAACCATCTAGCTTAGACCTCGAGTCACTGCTCTGCACCATTTCGACCGGTCCTGTGAGTGACAGGCCCCGTCTGCAGTGCCGGGTGCAGCCCTCCCCTTCCAGGGGCCGGGAGCGGCTCTCAGTTTAAATCCAAGTTTAAACGCAGAAGAACCTCCCCAAGCCTCGCTGGCAACAGCCAAAGCTCGCCCTGGACCAGCCCATCCCGAACCGCAGAAAACTTCCGCCGCCCCGTTTGACTAAGCCCCGTTCCCCCATCACCGCACGCTCTTTCCAAGCGGCCCGAGCTCCAATCAACTACTTGCCGGGGTGCTTGGAACCGCATTGCTAGTTCCCAAGGCGAGTTCGGGCGCCTCCGTGCTCCCTCTCCACGCCTTGCAGCTGGGCACAGGGGGGGAAAAAAAAATAAAATCCCAGCGACTTTCGAGCCAGTATCTCCAAAGAGACCGCAAAGCCAAGAAGAATAAAATCGGGAAGGGAGCAAACCATCACTCTGTAGTTTCCCAGACACCGTTTAGCAACCTGGAGCCCACCCAGGAGACCCGCCTGGCAGGTCCCCCCCCCCCCCTCCGCCAGTCCCTCCACCCTGGCGCCGACCTGTCAACCAGCCCCCTGGCCCAGGCGGCCCGGTTCAGAAAAAGGACCGGTTGGGCAGCGAGCGCATGGGGCAAAGGGGGGAGGGGGGGGCATTTCCCAAGAGAAAACCCCAGATCCTGCCAAGAGGGACCCCGCTGGGCCCAACCAACCAGCCGGGGCCGACTCATCCGCTCGTCCCTGCGCTCACCCGTTCATGCATGCATGCACGCACGCATGCATTCACGCACGCATGCATGCATGCATGCACCCACCCCGCCCCCCAGGCAATGCTACGGGGACAGGGAAAAGGAAAAGAGGGGGGTGGGGGGAACCCAGACAGCTGCAGCTTCCCTCCCCGTGGAGCAGCGCCTGGGAGGAGCCCGCGGCTCGGTTCCCGGGAGCAGCTGCGCCCCGCTTATCCCCACTGCGCACTCGGCCCTCCAGCCTCTCGCCATTGTCCCTGCCGGGCCCAGATAGCGCCCGCGCGAGCCCGGGGGTGGGGGGCAGCAGCCGCCAAGAGGCGGCCGCGACCCCCGAGGCGCGCTTCTCAAGGGCTCCCCGGACACGCACGAGGGCCCCGGGGTGGCGCGCGCCCCTTCTCCTCCTCCCCGTTCCGCTTTCCTCCTCCTCCTCCTCCTCCTCCCCCGGGGCTCGCCGGGCCCCGGTCACCGGGCCCATCGGTTTCGTAAGCGCGTCGCCGAGGGAGGGCCTGGCGAGGCTCGCGGCGCCGCGCGTTCCAAACGGCCCCCGCGCCGGCCGCGCGCGCGCCCCCCGCGACCCCCAGCGCCGCGCCCTCACCTCCAGCTCCGGGTCCGCCGCGGCCGCGCCGCCCTCGGGGCCGCCTTTGTTGCTGCCGGGCGGCGCGCTCTCGGCGGGCGCGGGCGGCGGCGGCGGCTGCGGCGGAGGCTCCGCCGCGCTCGACATGCTGCTGGGGCCGCGGGGGGCTTCGGGGGTCTCGCCTCGCCTCGCCCCGCCTCGCTCCGCGCCGCGCTTGAGCCGGAGCGTGAGCCGGGCCCGGCCGCCCTCGCCTGCCGGGGCCCGAGCGGCGCCGACCTCACGGCGGGAAGCGCGGCGCCGCGCGGGGGCGGGGCCTGCCGGGGCGGCGCGGCGGGGCCGGGCGGGCGGGCCGAGTCCGCGGGCCGAGGCCCGAGGGGCGCCGGGAGGGGCGCGGCGGGCAGCGAGGCGGGGAAGGGGCGCCGCGGCCGGGCCTCGGCTCTCCGGGACGCAGCGGCTCCCACGCCAGCATCCAGGACCACTACGCACGCCCGCTCCCGGCCCCCCGCCCCCGACGCCCAAACCTCGCGAGACTGAGCGCCGGCCAATGGCCCGGGGCGCCTAGGGCGCGTGCGCCGCCCTGGCCACGCCCCCGCCCCCGGCTTCGTGCTCCGGCGGCCGGGCGGGGCCGGGCGGTGACGTCACCCGTGCGTCGGCTGCTCCCGGGCGTGACGTGCCGAGCGCGCGCTCCTGCGCCTGCCCCGCCCCCCTCCACCTCCCCCGCCCCGGCCCCGCTGCGCCTCGGGCACTTCCGGAGAGCGCTTCCGGCGCCGGCGGCGCAGCATCCCCGACTGTGACGTCCCGGAGCGGCCGGAGCTCCGGCCTCGTCTGCGTGTGCGCGGCCCCCCGCGACGCTGGTTTTTTTTTTTTTTTTTTTTTTTTTTTGGTTCTTGGTGGTGGCTGTTGTTGCTGAGCAGGAGTGTCGCTAGGGGTGATTTTTGGGCTTGCACACGTTGGCTGCGGCCTTCAAGTCCCAGTGCCCTGCAACTCCCCCCCGCCCCGGGATGCAGTTAGGCGGTGTTTTGCACCAGGTGAATCAGTTTTCACCGAAGCTGTTTCTGTGCGCTCTGCCATCTAAGTGGAGATCAATCAAAGGACCAGGAAGAGAAACTCTGGATTCTCTCTTTCTTTTCTTTTTTTTTTTTTGGTCCCTCTACCTCGTAATAATAATAATAATAATATACGTGTACAAACGTCCTCAGAAGTATTCACACCCCCAGGGATGTGGCTCAATAATCAAGTGTTTGCCTTTAGATGCTTAGGACGTGCCTTCGATTCATGGCACTGCAAAAAGAAAAAAAAATCTTAAGGGATTTTTCTGAAAAATTTTTAAAAAAATGGTTATAAAGGACTGCAAGTGTTACTAATCCGCGGTAATACCCTAGTACTTTGAACAGTACTTGGACTCTTCACAGCTCCAGGGGTTATTATTGCTCTCTGCTACTCCCTGCTGCTTGTTCTTTTTGATACTAGATTTGCAGATTGCACCCCAGTGTGAAGCTTAGCTCAGGGTCTGGATCTTGTTTCTCGAATTTCCATGTCTGGAGTTCTGTCACCACTGATGGAAAATAGTTTATTTTTATTTTAAGAGCTAAGCTTTGGAGCTAAGTGATGGGGAACTTCAAACGGAAGGGGTCTCCTTTGACTGGAGAGCTTGGAACTTTTTAACTAATGGGTATTTCTTCTGTTGAATTCTGAACCGACACCCCCAGTCCGTTAAATAATGCAGTTTTTGAAAATTGACTCAGAACTACCCTGAAAATCTACGTTCTTAAAGCTAACAAAAACCCCCCACATTGTAACAGGCTACCACCCTTACTCCTAAGAGTAAATGAAATGAAAACATATAACCCTACAAAATTTTGTATATAGTACTAGCAGCTTTCTTATGAAAGAAAAAAATGGAAAAATTATCAAATAGTAATGAATAAACAACAGCAGGAGTGCTGTATCACCAATAAAAATGAATTTGTGACATACTTTAGCATTGATGAATCTTAGTTATCCTATGTAAATGAAGCCAAAAGTATCTACTATGATTCGATCACTTAATTTTAATGAAATGAAATGTAATATATAGTATAAGCAGATCTGTGGTTGCCTATGAGGTATGAGAGAGAAGGAAAACAATGGTAAAGGAAACTTCTGGAGGTACAGAGATATTTATAACTTAATTGGATAATGATGTAGCCGTGTACAAATAAAAATATTCAAATTAAAATGCAATTTCTGAGACTAAGGATCCTCTTAAGAACAAATGAAGCATAAATATCTAAAATGATGACTGGGATAACACATAGTCTTCACCATGTTAACTGCAGAGAAAGCTGGAACTAGGCTAACTCCAGCCTTGAGAACATGTAAAACCATGTACAACCACAAAATTAGTAACCTTCAACAATTGTTAAAACAAACACTGTCCTCACGTTGTTTATCGATTTGCTCAAGCGGGCCCAGTAACGTCTCCATTGTGAGACTTGTTGTTACTGTATTTGGCATATTGAATACGTCATGGGTAGCTTGCCAGGCTTTGTCGTGCGGACGAGATACTCTCGGTAGCTTGCCGGGCTTTCTGAGAGGGGCAGAGGAATTGAACCTGGCTCGGCCGGGCTGGCTGCTTGCAAGGCAAACGCCTTACATCTGTGCTATCGCTGTAGACAAATTCTTATAGTGGTAACAAATTCTTGGAGTGGGGGCAGGTTGATAGAAGAGGGCCCTAGCTAGGGCACTTGTCTTACATGCAGCCCACCTGGGTTTGATCTTCAGCACCCCAGCTGGTCTTCTGAGGCCCTCTAGAAGTGATGATCCCTGAGCCTAAAGGCAGGAGTAAACTAAGAGTACCGCAGGGGTATGGCCCAAATCCCCTCCCCCGCAAAAAAGTTGGTGGGGATATTTCTTTTTAGAAAGTGCGTCCTAATTTTTCACTTGAATTTTTTTTATTCTAAAATGAATATATTTTAGTATATTGGGGATACCAGTGTACAAACCAAACATGCAAACCCCATCTGACCATCTCTGACAATAAACATCAAAAAAGGAGAGGGAAGAAGGAAAACTTTTGCAATAGGAGGAAATGTCTGTGATATGCCACTCAAATATTATCTACATCACTAAGCTAAAAGAACATAGCATTTATTTAGTTCGTAGTTCTTTAAAGAGATAGCTGCAGACTGGACAGAGAGTAAAGTGGGTAGGGTACTTGCACAGGGCTGACCAGAGTTCAATCCCCCTATGGTCCCCTGAGCCCCACCAGGAGTGGTCCCTGATCACAGAGCCAGAAAAACGCCCTGAGCACTACTGAGTGCGACTTAAAAATAATAATAATGAAGATCATTTCTTGGCTCCTGATTTGCAAGCCTTAAAATTACATTTACAGATAAGAACAGAAGGCTTAACTCAGATAACTACTTAAGTAGAAAAACAATACAATTACCTCCAATAGGGCAATTGTCTTTTTTTTTTTAAATGGCAATTGTCTTAACATGTACATTTATACTGAGTTTGTATGTGAGCATCTGAGAGCTGTGTAAGAATCACAGGAGACGTGATAGAGGAAAGATACTTAGAAGAAAGAGGAGACGTAAGAATTGACTCCTGTAACCTACCATAAGGACAAAAACAGGTTTTGAGCAGGGTTTAGAAGAAAGGGGAATGAGACGGAAGCCTCAGTAAAGCTACAGGGAAGTGCTGAATTAGGCAACAGACATTTAGTCCATTCGTGCCTGAGTGCCAAGTCACAAAACCTCCCCTGCCTCACAGGCTGAAAGGAACAGCCAGTTCTGCATTCAGCAGCCTGGGAAAGGCTCAGGTAGCAAGGTAGAATAAGTGGGGGTGCCTGCTAACCTAGGTCTGACAAGCCCCCTGCTGGTGCAGGTAAAGGACCTAGCTGTTTTGAAATGAATTTTCTCATATTTACCCAATTTAATATTGGAACACTTTTCTGGTTATGATGCCATGAGAATTAACTGCAGCTGTGTGTGTGGGCTATGTAGCAAGACACCTGCCATGCAGTGAACGTCCGCTTTCCTGGTTCTAAGAATAAACCGTAGCCTACAGGTAGAGTCAACTTGCAGGAAGAGGATCACAAAAATCACAAATCATCCTGTTATTCGTCGATTGCCTGCCTCGAGCAGACCCCAGTAACGTCTCCTTCATCCTGGCCCTGAGGTTATATTCAAGGGCTCTTTAGGAGAATGAGACCCATCACAGTTACTGGTATTTGGCATATTGGGTACGCCACGGGGAGTTTGCCAGACTCTGCTGTGTGGGCAGGCTACATTCGGTTGGTGGGTGTGACCCCCGCCGACTGGAATTTGGAGGATCTGGGTGGAGGATGCTCAACTCCAATCCGAGTGGGCTTGGAGATCTCGGTCCCGGAACCCACGTGGCTTTGTCCCTCTGCCGGTACCTTCAGGTGTGCGGAGAGTGGTCTCAGCATGGTGGTGGCTGGTCCTGGAGGTCTTCAGCTGCGGCTGCCGGGGCCCTGGTCAGGGTGGGGAGGAAAGCTCAACCCGCTCCCCTCCAAGGGGACCCGGCGAGGAATAGCCAGGCGCGGGGGCAGGAGACTGCACTCTTCTCCTCCCCGAGCTGGTTTTTATAGTCTCAGAGTCTTGGCCACTGAAGAGGATACTTACAGATTTTTTCGTTTGTTTGTGAGGCGGGTGGTTGGGAGCGAGTCACATCTCAGTGTGCTCAGGGATCACTTCTTGGAGGGGGGGGGCAAAGGGTGGGTGTAAGAGCTTCCAGAACCCTATGGAGTGTCAAGGATCAAATCCCCATCAGTATTATGCAAGGGAAGCACCTACCCACTGTACCTCTCTCCTCCTCCCCCCACCGCCAAATCCCCAATCAGCACATGCTTCCTGTCTGCACCAAAAAGTCTCTCTGATGCAGCGCTCTAGAAAGGGATGTACTATACTAACCAGAGCAGAACCAAGAGATGTTGCCAGAAGATAAAAAAATACCAAAGGGCATCTTTGCCTCCCAAAGTACTAGGGAACTGCCTCAAATCGAAGCTGCTCTCAGAAATGTGGATAAGAAGAGCCGACCAAAGTAAGCAGAAGGAGAAATAAAGAGCAGAGATCAATAGAATAAAAAAATCAAAATAAAATGAGAACTGGTTCTTTGAGCAAGTAAGATTGACAGACTTCTAGGAAAACTGACACGATTTTGCAAAACACC